AACATGACTCACGTCTCAGTTGTACTTTCCGTCAGTGTGGTCCTTCCCATCATTTAGCTTATAATCAATAACACCACAATGGCTCCAGCGGCTGCCTTGTGCTCCCGCCTTTATGTCTATAATACCTACAAAAGCTGTCTTCTCAGAATGTGTCCTCCATTTGCAGGGATGGAGGAAAATCATGAATTATCCAATTATAACTCCACTTGCTTTTGCCAGGCTGGCTGCCAGTTGATTTGATGTGAAACCATGACAACCAATTCTCCTCACGCCGAGGGAGCATTACAACTTCTCGAGATTCAGCCATAATGTAATAAAAAGTAAAAATCTATAATCTGTGACAATTTGTGGTAATAAAAAAAAAAAAAAGAAAAAAAAAGCACAAGGCCTGAAAGGTTTGTCCTGACTTCCAGAACAGGGGCGGGAGGGAGAGCGGGGTAACTTTAAGCAGACATCACCTGAGATTTATGGTGTATGATTTGCAGAAGTATAAAACGTTATATATCATTTGAACCCTTACTACAGCCGGTCAGGAACTCTTAAAAGTGTTTGAGGTGGAAGGGGCTCAGTTAAACAAAGGTGAGGTCTCATACGTCCCTGCACCACCAGGTTTTTGGCAACATTTAAATTAAAATCTGATGACAGTTGGTGAGATGTTTGCTTATGTTGCCAGGCTGTTTGAATCAAATCAGATCAAAGCCCTCCCACACAGTCCTCAAGGTGCAGATTATGAAGGTTAAACTTTTAATATATAATTACTGAGGAGGTGTTTTTCCTAAATTTACAAAATAAAAAAAAGGTTTGTTCATTTAGTCATGAATAATTCGTGCTGTAGAGAAATATTTCAAAATGGAAGGTACGTTTTCAGGGGCTTTAATGCATAAGTAGCCATATTTGCCGTGGGTAGAATGGCTGCACATATTGTATTTTACTCTTACTAACACAGCAGATTGTCCTCGCTGTCACAAACAACCCGGGATAGATGGTGAGAAAGGGACTCAGCTTCACTAATAAAGCAAAACACAATTAAGAACGAGAGACTATTGTTACTTCATTAAGACAATCAGTTCATTAGTGAGGCAGACTAATGTATTTGATTAGGTAAATTACAGCAGGCTGAATAAATTAGCTGCTGAGAGTCTGATCAGATCTGTAGTTTGTCATCGTGCCTGATCAGAGGAGTTTTTGATTTGGAGATGCTGCAAACGTCGCATGGCTGAAACTGTTTCTTTATTTTTGACAGTCTGCTGGCTTCTCCCCTTTTGTCAGCTGTAGGCCATTAATTTTCAATCTTTTTCAAAAATAGTGGGATTCTTTGCTTCACAAACTCTGAAAATCCTAGTTCGCTGGTGTTCTGGTTCGGCAATTAAAATCGATGACACATCCTCATTGGTCAAAGCTGAAGCTTTCGAGGATTTGTGCCGCAACAAATAATTATTTTCATTATTGACTGATCTGGCATTTTCATTAGTAACTTATTTATCATTCAGCCAATAAAACAGTCAGAAAATTGTGAAAAATATCCATCAGAATTTCCCGTGGCGATTAGATTAGCCTGCAAATCAATGGCAAACAGCTGATACTAGATCATACAAAATTGGGTTAAATAGCTGCCACCTTGCGCCATGCCCTGAGGAACTTGTGTAAGGTCACTCTTTCCTGCTATGCTAAATAATTTTCACTTCCTTTTGACAGTCCTGTGGCAGACAGCTGACCTTTCACCACATACAGTACGCCATGTTTTTTTTTTTTCCCCCAGATCACCTTATTCTGGCACTTCTTTCTTAGAAATTGAAACTGTCATACCAATTGGTTCGGCTTTTTTGAACAAGTCTTCCTCGCAGGTGTCCCCAAGGGCAAAGAAGACAAAATGATTTGTTGCTAGAAATAGGCCAATTTCCACACTAGTGTGGGAACAAATCTTTGTCAGCCTGGTTTTGTGCCAGGGAGTAAATTGACGGGTAGCGTAATCCCCCTGTGACGAGACGAATCCGTTGAGTACCCTCTCAGGTGACTGTGCTCTGCTGCCTGATCATCTCATCAATACTCCTCACCAGAGGCCGTTTGTTGGTCACAGCTACTTTACTTTTACAATAGAATCTTACTTTTTTCAAGTTCTTTAAACTACCAAATGTACAATAACAAAGAAATGGTTGTTATCGTCTTTTTACTTATGATATTGATACTTTCACTAGGGATTGATAAATAGATTAGCCTCATCAATTACCAGAAACAATCTTGTTCTCCCTTTATTTTGAAAAACTAACTCTCCACCTTTCAGCTGGGAGCCGCTCAATCGCTAGTGATTTTCCCCTTCTCACACTGTTTTTTCTGAATGGTTTTTCGATGCCTCAAGAGGTAAAAAGAAAATATACAGCATTTCTCAAAAAGAGGCAAAGATAAAAGAAATGTCTAAAAAAATGAACAGTTTTATGCATCAGGATTTGTTATGGTCTCATTTCCTACCATTGTAATCACCTCACGACCCCTTATATTAGTTTCACAATCTTCTCGACCTCCAGGTTGGGAACCACTGGACTAAAGGATTAATCGTAGTCAGTCAACTGAAGCAAAAAAAATATTAACTATTTAACTTGATTTCTACCTCGCCTTATTCTGTTTTAATGTGTCCCCCCTGAAACAGATGACAAAATAAAACGCTTAAAAAAACAACCACAGAGTCACTGTGTTAAAACCCTGTGGACCCCCCTAACCTTTACTTGCTGCGGTCACCTTTACTATCAGGTTAATGGCTCTTAAAAAAGCGAGCGAGGGACAAATGCAGCACTGCTAGCTGGGTAATATGCTCCTCTGTAGTCACCAAGTTTTATACCATATGAGGAGTCGCAGAAAGAAATGTCATAGAGGAATGTGATAGCTCATTAGTGCTGTGGATGTTTTCTCCAGGTGCAGAGGACTGACTTAACCTCACCGCCCTCAAACACACACAGGCACACATATAGCATAATGCTGAGGACTATCACTTTACCTTTTTTTAAAGCCTATTTCAGGTTTTAACATTTGCATCAGCCAGCTAAGGCAGGTACCCTTGGTCTCAATTGTTACCTTTGTCCCCTCCCCCTCTCTCCCTCCCATTAGGACTGCTGGAGCCAGGTAACTCCCATGGCTAGAGTAGATAACAGCAGCCATTATCAGATTCCAAGCATTTAGACAGCAGCTCAGTATTGATTGCTGTACCGGCTGGTTACGACTGCCCTGACTTGCATGGTGCCAGAACAGTCTGGGGACCTGCTCTACCCTCATCCGCAACAACAAACAGCATCTCAAAGTCAGATGTATATTTCAAGAGGTTATTTAAAGACTGCTGACTTATTCTCACCACATGAAAGTCAAAATCCATTATATTATCCTATCTTACGCCTTCTATCCATCTCTTTTGAGAAACATGAGCTACCACTCCTGTAGACTCCCAGGCACACCAGCTTGTTAAGAGGCCATCCTAATTAACAAGATTACATAAATGATCAGATTACTGAAATACCCCCCCCAATCAATTAGCCCAACATGTAAAGTACATAATCACAAGGCAGCCCAGGCCTGAGCCATAATGAAATATTATCGACTTTTAGCAGAGTCATATTGCGATGATATGATTAGGGATGTACCAATCCAACAGGCAGGATTGGTATCAGTGCTGATACTGACCCCATTATACGGATCAGGCGTCTGCCATGATGTGACCAATCCAGGTTCTTTTTTTAGTGTCAGAATGAAATTCAGTGTCTCTGTTAGCAGCTGCATCTGTTCTGTCACAGAAGGTGCCTCAGCGATCTCTGGGTTCATGTTAGGCATTAAAATGATTCCAAACGATGTGAGGTACCATAACATTTAGACAAAAACTGAGCAGTGGTGTTGAATTGGTAAAAATCAGTATCCAGAGAAAAATAAAAGTTCAGAACATTCAGAGCAAGTTGTAACAATTAATTTGATTCATTTGCCATACCATGTGTGGAAAATATCCTTATTAATATTGTGATAATGATTTCAATCATACTGCCCATTTTACCAATAATATTAATTTTTTTATTTTGAAAATGCACGTTTCTACTGTTCAAGCTAAAAAGCTTGTGTCTTTTATCTCTTGCCATCAAACATTAGTGGTTTTTGACCAGCTCTGCCCCGTGTGCTGACTCCTTTGACTGAAACCCTTCTCTCTCATCCAGCGCACTCAGCTCTGCCTCAGTCACAGCACATTGTTCTGAACTGAAAGAAAAGACGGCATGCTCGTCAGAGCCTCTCCCCCTTGAGAGTGAGGATAGAAAAAAAAACAAAAAAAAAAACAAGCTGAGCAAGGAAGAACATTTCCTTGTCCTCTGCTACACGGCTAGAGAGTAACAGTCTACTGGAGGAAACAGGATCACGTTTCAGGGCTGGACAATAAAGCGCAGAGGTCGGCCAGGAGGCAGGAAACGGCTGACTCAATGATTTTCAGTGAGCGTGTGTTTCTGTGTGTGCACGTCTGTGTATATTTGTCTCCCCGTGACATGTTAACATCGTTAGCAGGACAGATGAGGACATGCGGGGTGTGTAATACTATGGCCCTATAATATTGACCCAGACACATCACTATACACGGTTGCTCGATCAGCCTCACTCAGACAGAATTCAACACATTAAACTCCTGCCAGCTAATGCCCTCTGTGGGCTGTCAATGCAGTTGCTAAATGAATAAATCAACGCGCAGTCACACATTTGTGAGCATGGACATGAGAGACCATGGCGGCTTTCTCTTCCTCCTCCAGCGGAGATGGGAATGGCTCAAAATGAAGATTCACACAGGAATTTGCCCTTTGATGGAATTTCGCCTTCATAGAAAAGCACAAACAAAAGAATTCTTTGCACAAGTTGTGTCCAAGTCCTCAGTCTAAATTATTGGATGTTAAGCTGCATGAATATGAATGAGTCACATTTGTGAGTGAGTATGTGTGTGTGTGTGTGTGTGTGTGTGTGTGTGTCTGTGTCCCAGAGAAGCCACGTACCTTGACAGCAGGCGTGACTCCATCCTCAGCAGTGCTCTGCCCATTCTGTCAAGAAAGCAAACGAGGGAAACAGTCAGTGTGTGTGGCACTGCATGTATCATGTGTGTGTGTGTGTGTGTGTGTGTGTGTGTGTAAAGGATGGAGACACAGAAAGAGAAAGAGAGGGAGAGAGAGATGCAACAGAATATTTGCAAGACTGTGTGGGTGGCAACAGTCCATTGTATCCAGCACTTTGCTCCTCCGCTGGCAAACCTAATAATCTAAGGCTGACACACAAATGCACATCGCTCATTCGTTCCCCAGTAGGTAAGTCTTGCTGAGAAGGGTAATCATTGTTATTTGTCAAACAACGGCTTGCCAAAGGCGATTCAGAAAATCAACATGTTGTTGATACAGCGGGAGTGGGCGGCTAACTTTGAACACAGAGTGGGATTTCAGTCACATTAGGTGATTAGATACATCTCTTGCACACAAAGCTAAAGAACAACAAGGGGAATGATAAACAGAGAACAGAGGTAATATTGTGAGATACGTTCGATTTTGATTTTTAAAAAGCAGAGGGCCATTATGATGTCAAGTCAAATTAGCATCACTTGTTATTGCCCATGTGAAGTCTACAGAGGCCAGACAGGCACTGGAACAAAAACACAACATCACTAAGATGGGTTGTCCAGTGGCACTCGTGGTATTTGTTCAATTAGAGAGGACTTGATTGATCACAATAGGAGAGGGTGAGGCTTAGAAAATCAGTCCTGGATCCATCCCAACCACATATTGGAGGTTGAAAAACAACCGGTTGCATGTGTAAAATTACACACTATACACAGATGGGTATTTTTTGTTAATTCATTCAAACATTATTAGACAGATTTTGCATTGCATTTTTGGGTTCCCTTTTTTAAATTTTTCTTTTCTTTTTTTTTTTGTTTATAAAAAGGTCCCCCCTCCAATCAAACATTTCTTTTTGCTACTGTTACTTCATTTGGATGTTTGACCTCCACCGACCTCCAATGTGCAGACTCTGACAGTAGAGGGCCGTTATGTACCTGCTGACGAGTCACCATAACTCCTGCGTGCATGACCTTGTGACTAGGTGGAAGACAATATTCAACTTACGTCACAAACACGTACAATGAGAATGGGCTTCTCAGTGAAGTAAGGGATCTCTAGTGTCCAGCAAGTAAACTTTTGAAATGATCAGTATTTGTAGAATCATCGATTCTGGGAGGAGTGGATGCAGTTTTACAAATTTTATTGAAAAGCTACATCAGACAAATTACTAGTATTTATTTATTAGAGTATTTTTAAGTGTGTTAAAAACCCAAGATGGCATCTTTAAATATGCAAAATGGTATAAAATCAGTTCCAGATGGCTGTATATGACCAATGAGCTCACTTTCATGCTGCACATGATGAATAAAACACCATGCCATAAGTGGTGTTCATCACTTGTTGCATCATATAAGTGGAAACGGTAAGAAGTGTCTCATGTCTTCCACTTTCCCACCAATTAAAAAAAAAACAACGATGCAGTTGAGATCCTACATTTCCCATAACGTAGCTCAACACGCAGTTGTAGCAAGTAAATTAACTTTGACATGTAAAATTGGTGGGCGTGCCCCTTTAATGAAGAAGACTTGCCCCACTGATGAAAGAGAAAATAAATCCATGATGATAACTGACCCCTTCCAACGATCAAAGAAAGACTTCTGGGCCCAGAGTCAAGTTGTCTGGCCAAGTGTGAGCCCCCCCTCAATAACCCCCCCCCCCCCTTTTTTCCGCCTCTTGCTTTGTTTTTCCATTACAGAGGGGCGACCCTCAGGCTGTTCACTTCCTCCATGCCCTCTCCCCACTTCCTCTTCCTTTACACTGCACAAAATAGACAGGCAAACAACACAATGACAAGCAGTGGCCTTAACAATCAAACACTGAACCGAAAGGGTAATAGAGTGAGTGGGGACACCGGGGGGGGGGGGCACAGGCAGTGACAACAGAGCAGCTTTTCTGGGCTCTTGTATACCGCAGGGAAAAAAGACTTTGTGAGGAGAATGAACACAGACTGTGGATCTACATCACAACACATTTTCGTCTGCGCTGCAAGATTGGATGTGTCTGGCAACTGGATGCACTTCCTTATTCTCTGCTTCACTCTAAGCAACAAGCAACAGCTATAAATTGGCTGAGTGCCACCAACCCCTGGCATTTTTACAGTTCATCTGGTTGGACTTTAATCACGATCTCAAGGGAGGCAATTTAATTTAGCCAAACTGTGCCCGTCATAAAAGCTGTATGAGGCATAATGTGAGGTGGCATGGGAGAAATGGAAGCAATTAAGCATCCAAGTGCAGTTCGAAGTCAGGCACAGATGTGTGCTGGGAGTGACAATTTAACGAAAACCAAGAGGAAGTGGAGTGCGTGCTGCTATGATGAACCCTGCAGACAAATTTAATCTCAGTGTTCTCACTTCCCACATCAATCCACTTACTGATTCTTTCCTTTATCTTCCCTCGGTGAGGTGTATGTGGTTGGTTTTGTCTAACCCGGTATGGTGAGTGGGAATCCTAAGCGAGTGAGTGCAACTGTCTGAGTTAGTCGGTGTGTGTGTGTGTGTGTGTGTGTGTGTCTGTGTGTGTGTGTGTGTGTGTGTGCGGTCAGCAATGCCTGCTCTACGTTGCTGCTCAACACATTTCAACCTCATTAGCTCTGCATGGCTGATCCAAGTGGCCCAGTTAATGGTGTTTTCACTCCCCTGGGCTTCCTCAGTGAAAGCTCAGGCATGCACATACACACAAGCAGCCACGAAAATACACTCAAAGTTGAATACATTAATAAACAAAAGTGATATTGTAAACACAGTGAGGACGTACATCAATTACGTTGTACAAATGCATAAGTAAGATGCACACAAATGTTCAAAGAAGAAGTTTACCGGCCACAAGCAAACTCTAAACACACTCATCTATTAAGCCAGACAGGAGAACTTTTAATTTCTCACAGGACTCCTATATGATTAGACGAGTAAACAATCTTAGAGCGCTAGAAGTGTGTGTATTTGATAGATAAATCTATGTTTGTGTCATTAGAGCAGCGCCGACCTGTAACTAGGCAACTAAGAACCACAATAACCATACTTTGTCGGTGTCTGTAATCCTATCTGACTGAATTTCTTGTAATCTAACCTGCCACTGAGTATCGACAGCAGGTCACGTTACTAATTTCCTCTTTTGGTTGGTGCCAGAAAATGGAATTAGCTATTTCTATTTGTCTTCTTTTTTTTTCTTTTTTTTTTTTTTTAGTCTGTGCTAAAAGGTTTCTCCCCAACATCAGCAACCATGAAAGTGTGGAGAGAAGTAATTAGGTTTTTCAGCACCAAACCTGCTTCACTGCCTGACTGTGGATGCACAACACACAGTCTTTGCTTCACTGGTCGATGCACATTCAACACTTTCTGAACATTCGAAAAGAAATGAGACCACAATTTCCCAGGGCACCTATCAAGTAAAGGGTTGTGTTATCACATGCCCAACCCAGCCCTCCTCCGCTCCCACAGTCCTGCTTAGGTGTTCCGCGGGTCACACCCAGATTAGCCGCAGCGAAGACTGCATGCATGCACACACACACACACACACACACACACACACACACATGCAGAGCAAAGCATGATGACCCGAGCATGCACACTTGCACAAGAACTTGAGTGTACACTGCTGACCACACCTGGCTAACAAACATGGTGCAGATTCCTCTCATTAACCCTACTTTCTCCTCTACACCTCCCCTTACGTAATGAAGAAACAAGACTCCACTCTAGTCTCTGTACCTCTCCTGTAACATCTAGGCTTGTACAGTCCTGCTCTATAAATCCTAGCTTGTGCAGTGTTGCTTACATAAATACACACTTACACTTTTTACTCTGCCCTGTCTTTTGAAATGTAAAGTACTATATAAGTAACAGCGTGGAATTATTTGAAGCCTCGCAGATCTGAGTCCAGATACAGACTAACACATTTAAATCCAGACCTGGGAACTGAATCTTTACCAAATACTGTTATCGCACCATCTTGCTTGTCATCTTATGGAAACAGGCAGGCGTAGTTAGAAAGCCTGTTATCTGACAGAGGGGCTCAGGTTGAAAAAGTAAGACGGCAGGTTCAACCTAGCTGATGCAAAGAAATGAGAGGCTAGCAGTGAACAGGGTGAGAAATAATATGCAATCAAACAATGGTTGAATAAAATAAAATAAAATAAAATGATCCCCTCAGAGGCAGGAACCACCAAACTTAACTTTAAAAAGTGTCTCATCAAGCTACTGCATGAGCAGAAAAATAAATAAATAAACAGTCAAATCCAGGCTGCAGCGAGAGCAGGCAATATAGATCAATATTTTCAACTAAGTGTACAGTGAGAAAATAAGCAGCAAACTACCTGATAAACACTCCACTGCATCTCCAGCTGGTCATTACAGCTTTTGTGCCAAACTCAATGGTTATGCAACAAAGCTTTTATAAACATAGTTCTTGAGTTTTTAGGAACTAAATGTCATTCACTTAATCCACTCCCTCCAGCCATGCTACACTGTAGAAATTTAGTAAGTTTCACAATCACCAGTGTGAATCAATGAGCTGAGCCAAAGTAACAAAGTTACACCGGACTCTAGGTTTTACCTAGCTTAAGGGCATGTGGATTCATTTGGCATATATCTGTAGTGGAAATGACAACTAAACGCTGACAGAAGCATGATTCAGATCTTTTGGTCGACCCGTCTTAACGTAGTAGTGACAGTGACCAATGCAGGTGGTAGTGACTCAACTGGGACAGGATGGGGGATGATCTGCTGAAGAGTCTTCATCAGATGATTCATTGAGATTCACTTAATTCACTGCAGACATGGTTCGGTGATGAATAAAAAGGGATTAACCAAGTAAATATTTTGAATAGCTCTCTTTGCACATTCATTTCTTGCTCGCTTCACTTCAAAAATACAAGAGGCGAGCGAGTCTGATTCCCCATTCATGACACCTTCTCTGCTTCCAAACAGAAGCATTCACATAATGAGTGATGGGGGGGGGGGGGGGGGGGGGCAGCCATCCCATCAGCCGGCCGTCATCAGAGCAAATCACTCTGTGCATGCGTGTGTTTCAGCCAAAAAAAGTATGTCCGTCCCATCTGTCCACATGACCAGATAGACTCCCATTGCTCGTGTGCTTCCCTTTTGACTCCCACAACATGTTCGCTGGCATGGTCTCCACTCTCGCTTGCTCTTTATGCTCAATCAATCCGAGCCCCGAGCCAACTCTCCCTCTCTCTTTCCCTCTCTCTCTCTCCGCCATCGGGAAGAACCAAAGTGTGCAGCTGGCTGGTAGGTTGGTGACAGAGATAAATGGCATCGATCCCACTCTGACTGGCGGTGACTGGTGTGATTAAATTGATCACAGATACTGGATTTCTGGGGCTGTCTATACTGATACGTAGGAACAAAAATAATTCCTCCTTATTTTATATAGGCTGATATTTACTCACATATTCTGTATTTTTAGCAAGAATCTCACAAATTAGTTTATCAAAGAGTTGTGAGCATTACACAAAGGCAGGGTTTTTTTTTGTTTGTTTGTTTTTTACTGTATAAAACTTATCACTCTTGGCACCACCATCTGTTCAGCTGTGATATGCTACTCAGCCAACTCGCATGCTGCAGAATACTGGAAATAGTGGAGTCTGCTGAACAAACTGTGTCAGGATGACACTGTTTCTAAATTACCTGAAGTGCCTCACGTGCAGGTTTTTCATTCATCATATGCACCAACACTGCTGTTTCTCTGCTCTAAAATTAACTGTGACGCCTGTATCTCTTAAGTGTGCAAGCAATCATTTCTACCTCCTCGATAGTTGTAGCTCTCTTCTGATTAATGGCATGGCTTAATGAGTCAAGACTCATTAACTTGACTTGTCAGTTTTCACTTTCAAATTTTTGCAAATCATTTCCAGGACGTCTTTTTTTCTTCCCAGTGCCCACATTTATTCCAATGCCATCAAATTATTATCCCGTTATCCCGCCCGAGAAATGAGCCTCATTCATAATCAGACTCATCTCTCGTGAAGCTGATTGAGGACACCTTGTAATATTGTGCACAGAGCTATTCATCAGTGAGATCAGACACACAAAAGCATGGGTATCACATGCTCGCATCGCCCGCTTAATTGGCAGACTAATTCAAAAGAGACAATTTGGTACATTTAGATAAAGCCTTCAGTGTTATATTACAGTGCAGCCTAAAGTGCCACAGGTTGCTTCTGTGTGGCCTACGTCTGCTCAAAAGAACCAGAGTGTGATGGATGCATATTCTCTAAGCAACCCGTCTGTTCAAGAGGCAATTGATGGGTTCATGAATAATGATGCTGCATCAGAATAATAGGGGTCTGGACCACATTAAAGTCGCTATTCTCTCTCTATTGTCCTAAATTCTACATGTTCTGAGGTTTTATTGGCAGAAGATTGTAAAATGTTCAATCTTTTAGAGCGTCCGTGCTCAACAATGTCACCCTCTACCTGCTGTGTAGTAATCAGACACTTCTGACACTTCTTTGTTTAAGTTAAACTCTGCAGAAACACACACACACACAAACACAGAGCGAGAGAGAGCACATACAGCATGACTTTGGTGGCACAAGTGCAGGTGCAAGCGTGTTTAAACTGTAAACTATTAGCAAGAATAAGAAAAGAAGAAAAAAATTAACCCATCCTGCAGCCCATATTAAAAAGGTAGAACTCCAACGTTACTGAAATAAACCGATGATTCACATAGTTGAATTTTAAATGTACTGACAGCTTAGCCTGTCGCCATAAGCGGAGGACACTCTCTCCCTATACCTTTACTTTGTGGTGCCATGTATGACAAGCTCTTCACACACTGGCAAGGCACTGGAAACCACTTGACAGGTGAGAACAGTGACAGACAGTGATGATGAGCCGGTTGCGTTTTCCTTTAGATCACAGACTGTCTGGGTCTCTGTGGTTCTGAGCTTTGAAATGGAGCTTGCCTGTGAGCCACAGTGGAAGAGGGAGGAAAAGTGGAGTCTTATTAATTTGAGCTCTTTGAAAACCAATGATGGGAAATGATGAAACATCTCCCCTCTTGGTTAAGGCGGCCAATCACAGCCTATAACAGGCCTGTACATGATTGTCAGTGAGGTTGTAAGTGGCACACTGACATGTCCTCTGGAAAACGAACAACCTATTCATCACACTCTGAGTTACCATGATTAAAAATGCATACTATTAATATTATGAATTATAAATGGAGTCTATACTCCCCAGGCTCTGTATGCTGTGGAAAGTCTTAAGTAAACCAAATAGAGTGGGTGTCCAATCATTTTAGTCACTTTACTCTTAATAATCACTTTGGCACTCACACCCACAAAGTGGACAATAAACTGCTTAAATTGTCTCATAAAAATGAACTCACTCACCCCATTTTAATTTCCCCTGACCCTGGAAATCAAAGTTGAGCAAAAACTGCTCAGACAAAGCGTGCAACAACAAAAAAAAAAACAGCGGCGACACATTTCACCTCTCATTACCTCCGTCTCAAGCTGCACTAGTTCCATTGTGGGCCATGGCTCCGCGATCTGTGCAAGAGGCATTTTCGCAGGGATTTTCACAGTTTCCTCCCCTTCAGCTGCTGCTCGAGTGTCGAATGTGGTCTCCCGAGATCGTCTCTCCTGCTGCTCCTGTCAGGTGCAGTTCACTCAGAAGCTCCTCACTCAGGTCGCGAGTCCAGGTGGAGCGGATTTCCCAGCACTTTGCTCTGTGCTCAGAGGAAGATGACGCGCGTGCAGCCTTCTGCGAGCACAACCAAGAGCTCTACAAACAATTGTAATCCCTTGATATGACTTCGGCGTCGCTTGGCCACTTGTGTGTGTTTGCTGAAAGTGGTAATCCAACTAAAAACACCATAAACACTAAACAAACCCTCTTGTCCTACCGGCTACGCGCACTGGCTACTCGGAGGGGGTGGGGGGGGTTTGGGGTTTGGGGTTTCACAAGCGGGAGAAGGAGAAGAGAGCAGAGCCCAAACGTGTGATCCAAGCTCCCTCTGGAAAAGGAGTCTGCAGGAGTCTAATGCCACCTAAGGAGGGAATTAGCCAGAGTCCGTGCTGCCTTTGCAATCGACGCCAGGATCAAATCTTAACGCCTTCCTCCCCTGTGTGTGCTTGTGATTTCTCCCGGGCAGAAAAAGGGAAGACTTCGTCTCTCCGTCCGCTTGGTTCCCTGCAGTAGTGTGTGATGCGCGCAGAGACCTCAGTGTGGCTCTGTAGTACGAGNGGGGGGGGTTTGGGGTTTGGGGTTTCACAAGCGGGAGAAGGAGAAGAGAGCAGAGCCCAAACGTGTGATCCAAGCTCCCTCTGGAAAAGGAGTCTGCAGGAGTCTAATGCCACCTAAGGAGGGAATTAGCCAGAGTCCGTGCTGCCTTTGCAATCGACGCCAGGATCAAATCTTAACGCCTTCCTCCCCTGTGTGTGCTTGTGATTTCTCCCGGGCAGAAAAAGGGAAGACTTCGTCTCTCCGTCCGCTTGGTTCCCTGCAGTAGTGTGTGATGCGCGCAGAGACCTCAGTGTGGCTCTGTAGTACGAGCAGGCTCAAACTCGAGCTGTTATTGGCAGACTCCAACAGGATTTTAATCCAGCCCCCTTTTCTACTTGAGCCGCCCAGGTCTGATCGCGCCATCATCCGGCGGAGAGATGAACTGCAAATACGTAATGCAGACTGGAGACCTATAGTGTTTCCAGCATGCTGCAGGTGCATCAGATGAGGTTACAGTAGAGCCTGTGTGTGTCCAAAGGAAAAACTGTCAATCATCAATGGCAGATGAGAGCACTGGAAAGAAATCTGTTGGTTGCATAATCCTGTACACTTTGATCACAAAAGATGGAAGTGCAGAGTGCAGCTGACTCCCCATGCACTCAGTGGCCTTGCTTTTACCAAACTAATTTTTTTTTTTTTTTTTTTTTATTGAATGAAAGACCTCTAGACCCACATCACAACCTCCTCTAAGCCAAAAAATTACATAATAAATTACACAATAGATTTAAAGAATAGAAGAGACTAGAATTGTGGGTCGTGACCAGTGTTGTTGGATTCTGTGCGGACATTACATTGATGCATCAGTCCTTTCATTGACAAATGCTCTTGTGATGGTCCTTGTAATCCTCAGTGATATTTAAAAAAACACCCCTCCACCATCAACACTTCTCTGCTTCATTCACTGCAGAGTGGATTTTGCTCTTGGCCAGCTTTGGTTACTATTGGCAACAGGAGAGCATCAAACCGCCTCACCGTGGATGCATCAGATACATTTTTGATTCAAATTGAGATGAAGGAGGCATGGCATTTCATAGAGACAAAAAATTAGAAATTAAGTGGAATACAATGGAGCCTATGATTTGGTGCCTGTCTTTTGACGGATGTGTTGTCTAAGCAGGCTGCATATGCAAAATGCTGCCGCTCCATTGTTAAAAGCCTGTTTAAAATACCAACCTGTGGCTGCCACTTGCAGCTTTGTGGCAGGTTAAACACACTGATATCATCTGTGGGAGGAAAACACTTCCCATCTTGTGTAACTGCATATCAATGTTCCTGACACATCTGTGGCTTTTTGGACTTTGTATCCAAGCTGTTACCATGCAACACCTTCTCTGTTCACTCCAGGAAAAAAAACAAAAAAAACTGCCACATTTATTCATTCATTCATTCATTCATTCATGTCTGAAGGTTTACTGCAGTTTCAACATGTTCACCCATTAGTGCATTTTCCTGCAGCTCATATAGTATTTCTGTTCATGCAGCAATGCCTACACGATCCACATACACAAGTCATGCTAACATGCACATATGGACTCCACAGATTTTTATTAAATGCTTGTTCCTTGGCACCTTGTCCTCCACATTTCTACACAGCAAGGAAAGGAAAAGAGAGTCAGTGGCGAGAGAAAAAAGCTTTTTCCTTTTCCCCTCAAAGCTTGTGGGGTCAGTGCACAGCCAATTTATCTTCTTACAAATCCATACCACCCCATTGACAGGGTGGTCGGAAGGTGAGATTATGCCACCTAGGGGGAGTGCTTTCCATCACGTTCACATTGTATGTAATATTAATAATAAGTAACCAAATAAGTCACTGCCTTCCCAAAGCTCGCCTCAACACATCGATTTGTCTCTATATGATGGATAAGCAGCTGCTACGGGAGCATTCATGGCACCTCATAATGCTATATTGGTGTTTGTTATTTAGTGCAGCCGACCATTGGTCATTTCTCTTCTCTTCTCTTCTCTCCTCTTCTCTCATCTTCTTTCTTCTCATTTATTTCCCTTGTCCATTATGGGCAGGACAACTGCCGCTCTGTCCTCCTCTTTCCAAGGATGCCAGTAGATTGATGCCGGACATTTCTCACTGTTTAGGGCTCCTCCTGTGCGATGTGATGGATTCCAGACTGTCAGCTTGATCCTGTGGTGGAAGTTAACGGTGTATTAAAGACAATTATAAGGAATGAGTAAAAAGAAGACGATATAGAAGGGTGATAAGTCGTGTCAAGAGGCCTGGGAATGGGGGAGTGTTGCTTTCTAGAAATCAATGTAAGAAATGGGTCACTGGTGGCTGGAAGGAAACAGCCTCATGTAAAAACAAACAGCCTTGCATAAGGTACACTGATATTGATTGACATGTTGTTGTTCTCTGAGATGTACAACACACTGATATTCTGACAGCAGGGAATCTCTTCTTCTATTCATGATGCTCCAGTGATATCACAGGTGACAGCAATGACTCAGAGGTGTCTCCCATCCAGTGGCAAGAGACTCCAGGGATACCCCCCCCCCCCCCCCCCCCCCCACCTCTGGCTAGAAATGAAGCATCATGGGAAATATGACTCAGTCCAGCTTGACATGCATGTGCAACGGAGCAAGACTCCACCCTGACTTGTCGGTGTATTGGCGCAGAAATGAGGCCTGTTTGTCGAGGAGCTGTCGAACAGATACGTCAGCCGAGCTGTGACAAAATAGACGTCAGATTCTGCCCCCAGACGACGGCCTGGAAATTAGACAAACCGATGCAAACCCGACACTGTTGACATGGCATGAAACCTCATTTTCAGTTTGAGCTGAAAGCGCAGAGGTTCAGGAGAGAGGGAGAGTGATGTTAAGTATGCAAGAGGAAACAATGAATCATACAGCACAGTTACCACCACTCTACATATATACAGCAGTAAACAGTGCGATTAGAATGCAAATACATGCATACTCCAATTGTGAAGTGGCAGCTGGTGCTGTAACAGCATCTCAAATAATTCATCTGGTCATTTATTATTGTTGCTTTTCTTTTCTTTTCAGACTGCCATAAACATGTGTATATTCTTAATCTATTTTCAATCATGCAGCTATGTTCCTTTATCTGACTTGCTATCTGTATTTCTTTTATTTCTGCTCCTGATTTCGTTTTTTTTCCACTATTTGCCATTGCTTTTCAAATGTGGTATAAAATAATAGGATTTCCTTACGTACTGCACTTACTATATTGGGTGAAACTAAGTTAATTCAAGATGCATGCTCCTGGCATTTCTGTCAACCTTTACTGTAATGCGTCTGAGGTACGAACCAAATTTTCCAGAATGTCTGACTGTGTATGTTGGAATAACTTTCCGCATAGCCAGCAAACGTCTTAAATAATAGCTCTTTTGATCATTGTGCTGTTTTGCTTTCCCTTTCCTTTCCACCATTATATGGATGAGCAAACCTGAGAGGAATCTAAAGCAGATTAAAGTTTTATGAGTATATGTTTATTTATGTCAAGTGAAATGTTCAGTTAATCCACAGGATTAATTTGTTGAAGCAACACAGGCACTAGGAGCTGACTCCACTTAAATACTTAAAGAAGAGCATCCAGATGTAGCTGAAATACAATACAGGATACAAATGCTAATGGACATGGGATTTACGCTAACAACTTGTGCTTGGTACAGTAAATTTCATCTCAGTGCACTCTTATTTACCCATTTCACTTCTATATTTCACAGTCTAGGTGGGTCAGGTTTCTACAAGAGCACTCTCAGACCTTTGATAATAATTCCTGCTTAGCCGAGCCGAATGAGCACATGTCTGCAGTGCAAGGACCAACGCCATCAGTTGGGCTGTAGCGTAGAACAAATTAATTAGCTGCTCAGTAGTGGAGCAAGGGTAATTATCCAGTCTCTGCTGAGGGACTGTAGCAGGGGAAGATGATATTGTAATGATTCAAAAATTCACTCTGGGTCTGTGCCGTACAGAGATGACGAACAAATAGCGTTATTGTATTTCAAACATCAGAGGAATTATCGTTTGTCATAGAAGGGACAGTGAGGCTGCAGATGGACTGGGTGGGTAGTATTGACTGATAAAAGAAAAAGACAGAGGAGGGGGGGGGTAAAGAGAGGCTGTAGATACACAGTGTGAAATATTGTTGGTTGTTGTGTACAGTCTTGTTTCTTTGTCACAAACGCTATCTTTTGCAGCAACGGTTCCTAATGCTGACTCCATAAATATGACTGTTGTGTTGGGTGTGCTGACATGCGATAAAAAAAAAAAAAAAAAAAAAAAAAAGAAGCATGTTGAGGCTTGAATTTGTGTCTCTGGTATTTGGGCTGGGCAAAAGAGGCAGGCCGAACACAAAGTCTTAATAAAAAAAAAACACACCTCTGAGATCAAGTTCAGCACACAAACAAGCTACAGTAACACATCATCACGTCATTGATTTTCACTGAGAAAACGCACCAAGCTGTTTGTGAAGCACTGGAACATACCAGGTCAATACGTAGATTCAGATTCAGGCTGTTATTATATTTGTTGGTTGTTTTTTTTTTTTAGGCTGAAAAACAAGAACACAAAAGAGCAGCATAAACTTGTGTGAGTAATATGTCCCACACAAAGAGCTGCTATCACCGGAATAAAACCACTGCAGTAAACTGCATAAAAGCACCAAGTCGTACAAAACATTTTAAGCAACAATGGGCAAGAACTTAGCAATGCGCTGGTTTTCCATTAACTTAGATTATTCTCGATTTGTCAGGCTGGTGGACTGATGTCTTACAATCGAGCTCGAGTTATTTTCCTCTCACACTTTCAGCAGAGAACGTCTTGACTCAGCAGAAGATCAATAATGATTCAGTCAGCATTTGCAATGACAAAAACCTCTTTCCAATGCTCCAATCTGAAGGATTACATTAGTATTAATAAACTGCTTCATTTGTTCTTTTCACTTTGAAATACACCTACCCATGACTAAATGCTTTGAGGCAAACAAAATTATACGATGCTATCTCACATAACCATCTATCTACAGAGACAAATGACAGGAATAGATTTTGCAGCCCAGCAGATTTACTCTAAATATTTGAAGACAGTGGCACAAAGCATATACGCATAGGGGCACTGCCATTTCACATGCTGTCACAGAAACCAGACTCCCCACCCCCCACCCACCTTCCCCCTTCCTCTGTCTCTTTCTCTTGGTTCAAAGAGAAGAACAGCAGGGGGTGCCAGATATCATAGGGCAGCTCTTTCATGACTATAGCCTTTTCATCAGGAGTTGCCCTTTACCTCTGGGGGGTGGGGTGACATTCAGAGGCAGATTTGTCACAAACTGTATAATATGAGATACTAACAATATAATCTCCTAGTGTCGCTCACAGCATAGATTCCACAGTTCATTCACAAAATCCCTACACTTCAAGTCATAAGCATGAATGGAGCACACACTGATTCAAAGGTGTTGCAAAGTAACACATTAGTTTGATAGTGTTGTTATGATTGATAGTTTCCTTTAAGAACTCATGTTCCTGAATTTTATGGAGGTAATCATTCAACATAATATGAACTTTGAACCCCAGAGCCAGTTCCTGCACAGCTTGTTATGATATTAAGTGCTGATGGGGAATAAAAAACAATGAGTTATATTGAAATGCTGTCTCTTGCTTTTAATTCCCCAAGAGTTCATACAAAATATGATATAACAATAATAATAATAATATCCCTGTGTTTCCTTCTCAGTCAAAAACTGTATGTTGTAGATATGGATGAATTATTCATGAATGAATTCCTCCAGTGGCATGTAGCTGATATAATTATTGATACCTTAAATAATTCAGCAGGCAGAGATGTTCTGACACTGTAAAAAATATTGGGCATTAATAAAACATTCATAAAGTTAAGATGATGTTTTCTCACGCTGGAGCCCAGAAAGTCAATGCAGTTCAAAGGATAAAATAGGAAACGTTTCCGGAAAATTCCTGGTAGAGCAGCTGAACCAGTAGACTTGGAAAAGAGGATTAGATGTGCAGGTCTGTGCAGGGAGAGCAAGTGTCCCCCCCACCTTTAAGTCTTGTGACAATTCATGAACTGTATGTGTGTAGGGGATCATAATTAAGTGTCAAAATCCAGAGCATCATTTAATGCAATCAAATGTAACCTAAGCACCACCGGGTTAAAGCAGGACCTTTCTGGAACAGTCCCAGAGGTAGCATTATTACAGGGTTATTGTATCGTACAGGTGATGTGTTGTTGTATCCCTCCACATGCTGCGGTGTAACAACCGCAGGCCATGCGCCCTTTTTTTTCAAGCGGATGACGTGATTGCGTATGAAAGTAAAACTATGCGGGAAGTTATGAACCTTAAAGCCGCAGCACCTTTCACACACTATCCATTCCTCCAGGTAAAGGGAGGGGAGGGGGAGGGGGGCGGATGAAGGAGGGAGGGGTCTTTGCTCCCTGGTCAGAGCCTGACAGTTTCGCATTGGCTGACAGCAGGGGGACTGTTAACTTACCTGTACCTGTGGGAAGGAGTGCCACTCGTCATCGTCCGACTCCAAATCAGGATCAACTTTTCCTTCTTCCAGCAGCCCGGAGAAGTAGAAGTCAGCCAGGACGGCTTGAAACTGAACGAACGACTGCAGCAGGACTCCGAGCATGGAGCCTATAACGTGTTGGAGCGAGGAGAGAGTCGGCGAGTGGCTCCAAGGTGAGGAACATATCTCGCTAGTATTTTTTTGTCTTCGTCACGCCTTGATCGCCTCACAGGTACTTTGGCTCGGACGCTAAAGTCAGAAATAGAAGCGCCACACAAATCCTCTTGGAAGTGAAAGGTGGAGGTGGAATGAGGAAGTGGCCTGAGCTGGGAGAGAAGCCGCAACAGTCTTGTCCTGATCAGTGTCAACAACTGAGGTAGCAGGTACCAGAAACAGTGTTTACATGGCTGACTGCTCTCTACTTTGAGGACGTGTTGCGTTCACTGGCATGATTGATTTATGTCTTCTTTCGCCCAAAGGCTCGTTTACAGAGAGAATACTGCTCATTATACAGTACAAGTACATGGATCAATACTCTCTTATGCTGTTACATAACTGTATTACAATATCGGCCCACAGTGAAGGTGAGTTAGTGTTGGAAAGTAACAGTAAAGTACATTTACTCAAGTATTGTAAATGCTAAAATGCAATTTCAGGTACTTGTACTTTATTTTATTATTTCAGTTTTACTTTACACTTCAGAGGGCAATCGTGTACTTTTCATACAATGCGTTTATTCAACAGCAGCCATCCAATTACTGCTTACTTTGCAGATTAAGATTTTAAGTGCAGAACCAATGATCAGTGTAAAGTGTGAGGCCTTGTTGCCAAACAGTATATGAAATATAATTTCACAATGAACAACATTAAAGCACCGCTTACGTATTAATATATAAATTATAATGGTCCAATGCTGTAATAATATAAGACTGACAGGGTCATTCTGCATTAAGCGCTTTTACTTTTGATACCTTAAGTATTGTTTGTATCTTGTCAATACTTAATGATCTTGGATGCAGGATTACTACTGTACAAAGGAAATCATTCACAGTGTAGTATTGCTATTTTTTACTGACGTGAATCATTTGAATACTACTCTCACCGCTGGTTATTACATGTAAAAACACATTTAAGTGAGCCACTTTGTGATTTCATTATGAAGTGGTTATAGTTGCCAAGTCATTACTTCAAAAACTTGCAAAGTGAGAAGACGTGATATTGATATTATATCATCATCATATAGTTTATGACCTATTTAGCAAATTAATTATATTAATGTCTTGTGTTTCACAGACACATTTCATGCAGCAGAGCAGAAGTCTTTTCTCAGCAGCTCCATTGATCCTCTGTCTCTATTACTCCATGCTCACTCTGCATGTCTCTGCCTGCACATGCATGTGTTTTTCTGACTATGTGACTTGTGCGTTGCATGTGGTTGAAGTGTTTGTGTGTTTGTGTGTGTCCTGTGGCCAGGTCTGGATGCCCCCCTGCATCAGTACTCTGTCTCGGAGTGGCATTTGTCAGGCCTGGATCTGCTCCAGTTGACCTCGCAGGACCTGGAAAAGCTGGGAGTCCATAAGATCGGACACCAGGAGCTCATACTGGAGGCCGTGGAGAAACTCTGCTCTCTGGTGAGCGAGGAAGCAGAATCATGCGTGTTTGTGTTCACTACGTGTCCATAGCAGTGCTCTGTGTATCCAAGGCTGCTTTGCCGTGTGTGCGCTCCGGAGGCAGTGTGCGAGGAGGAGAGGTGTGCTCTGGATGTTTACTGAGCAGTCATCTTCTTGTCTTGTTGTGTTGTTGTGTATGGTCTGATACTGGAGAACCAAGATTTTTTTTTTCCCACCATCACACTTCTCATACATCCAGCTCTTGTTTGCATAGCAGAACCAGCAGCTGTTGGACAAATCCAGCCAGAATACACAGCAGCTGCTCTTATTGCCATACAAGTCCTGGCGCACTGAAATACCCAGAGCCTTAACAACATGCACCAAGTTTGACTTCACTGCTTCCCTTTGCCCTCCACTTTTATATTGAAATTCCCCCTAGTCAAGCATATCATAGTAAAATAGTTACTTTATTTTTCCCAGCCAACATCAAAGGACTAGTCATGCTTTAACTGCAACCAAAGCAGTTAGAATACCAAAGCTTGCGCCTAATACTTTACATGCAAATTTCTGCGAAAGTTTGCAGTCAGCTAAAAAAAACACTTCCGCCCCTCCTTTGATTCTCTGTCCTGTTTTTTTTTTCCTGCTGCCTAATTAATTTTCCTCCCTGTCCAATTTTGAGAGGGAGCTTTAGGACACTTAAATAGTCATGTTGGTGTGTGTGTGTGTGTGTGTGTATGTGTGTGTGTGTGTGTGGGTGTTTGTGTGTTTCCAGAGTGGCCTTTGTTTCATTGGACAGACTAATTGAGCAGGACAGTACCAGGCAAGGTTCCAGCTCTGATGGCGTAACAGCCTGTGAACATCAGACTAAAGCTCAGGCTGCTTAAACTGCCCGTTGTCGAATTATTGAAATAACTGTAGTACTGATTGAAATAGTCATTACAGCATCAACAGTTTAACCCCAAAGTCTGATTGAATGAGTGTGAATAAGGTTTTCCTGCAGGAAAAGCCTCACAGAAGTGGGTTTGTTTGAAATTGTTTTAACACAAGACTAGATTGAAACCCATACACAAACTCACAGTTTAAAATTTTACCTTAATAACAATGTGTTATGTGTGTGTATGTGTGTGTGTGTGTGTGTGTGTGTGTGTGGGTGTGTGTGTGTGTGTGTGTCCTCTTCACTCCTTCTCCTCCCTCTCTGCCTTGATGCTCCGTGAAGTGCTAACACTGCTCTCATTCATAAAAAAAACAACCATCAGACGCTCACATGAAACAGACCAAACACATTCAAGTGCACAGTTACATAATTAACGACTCCAGCGTTGAAAAGGGCTGCATGTTGATGGCGGATTGTTCCGGCCGGTTGAAGTGTAACAACAAAGCGCGGTCGGTCCAGACCTCTTGACCACTGATGAGTGGTGTCACAACAATAACCTGCTCCTTCTTCAGCGGCCGTGAGGAGTGACGTCTCTCACACACGGCCCGGCAGGAAACGGGGATGACAGGCGTATGAACTGAGACGCGAGAGGCTCTGTCTTGTTAAAGGGTCTTTAAAGTTTCAGTTTTATTTAATCCTTTGCCACAGTTTGTACTGTTAGCTGCGAGAGCATCCAGTTTGTGGTGCCTTTGATTTGTGTTATGTAATATAAAGTACAGTCTTCCCTCATTGATAGAAATATTAGAATCACCTCTCATTATAACACAATATGATTCAGCAGCACCACAAACAATACAAACACAAACTGAACATTATAACCTTCATGAAGGGTTTACTATAAGACTGAATACATTAGCTTTAGCCAGATGTACCTAATAAACTGACGACTGAGTCTAGATCAGGAGAAGAAAAGTGCTTCTTCAGTTCTTCAAAATTAGTTTTGTCAATGAGTTTTTAATGTTGTTAGATATTGAGCTAAAAGTCAGTATTATGATCACATGATAGGGGTGACTGGATCAGCTAAAAACACATTACTGTGTGTTTTCTCCTCAATATCGATAGATTTTACAGAAACCACTATACCACTACATATACCAGTATCATGATATAAAATTACATATATTATGATAGAGAACTTTATCAAATAGTAATAATAAAAATCTTATAGAGCACTTTTTAAAATCCAGCTTTACAAAGGCAGCAATGAAACATAAAATCAATAGATTTCAAAGAGAAGAAAAACGGATTAAACAATTGAAACAACAGCAGAAATTTCAAGCCATCGTGTATTTCAACACATTGTTTCTTTCAAAAAGGAGTAGATTTGTCTCAGTAGAGGAAATGACACTAATTTCTCCACTAACAGTAAAGCGGAATGCTATACATCAATGCAAAATAACGGCGAACATGGCGTTCACTCAGCTCTCACTCTGTTGAGGTATACAGCCGCTCTCTGGCTCTCTTTGCAACAGTCAGTATCGTGATTGTGTTCTCCACCCTCTAGCAAAACACACAGTTATGCTGAAATGAAATTCTGCAAAGTGTTTTCAGTGGTTTGGGTTTTGTTTTTGTTTTGTTTTTTTGTTCAAAAGTGGACAGAAGAGAGGTGATGGGAAAATGAAGGGTATTAGGAAGAGGGCAAGAAATGCATTGAACATCACAGAATGATTGCATAGAACAATGTGAGAGCGTTTCAGGAGTGAGATAGTCCTCTGACCAAGCTGCAATGTGTGTGCGTACTCTCCAGACATATGGCATGGGCGGGGAGACCCTGCGTGGTCTGACAGAGAAGCTGCGTGCTCTTGCCCACACCCTGCAGATGGGCATCCAGGGCCGCTGGCGCCTCAACCGCTCCGAAGGACAGAGCGCCACCAAGCTGCCTGCTCGGGTTCTGCAGGTTGTGGTGGAGCTCATCACCTCTGCCAAAGGCCTCTTCTCTCTGCTCAACAGGTTTGTAAAGAGGGAGTTATCTAACTGTTATATATACACTACTTCAAATCCAATTTTATTCCACAGTTATTTTCTACTCAGAGATGTTCTCTGCTGTGTTTTTTAAAAATAGTGTCTGGCTGTAGATTTTGTTGCCGTAGGTTTTATGTAGAAAAGGGTGGCTGTGGGCTGAAGTCAATTTGGAGGTGTAGCCTTTGCTGTACATGGGGAATTGTTTGGTGTACGCACTGACTTTCTGTTTACACATCCCTTGTTAAGAAAGCTGTTACCTGCTCCGTTTGCTTCCTTTCATTTTTCTCTTTGTGAGACTTTCTTGGATCCATAATTGACTTTGTTCATTTGAATTGCCTGCGTGAAAATGAAATCATTGTGCTCGTACTCACAGTTAAATCCTTCTAGTCTCTCTCCAGACTTGTTTCAAATATAATCCCTGTCTTTCTAGGCATCAGTTTTTGCAGCTCAGTGGATGCACCTCCACCAAGAACATATTCGACTACTGCAGAGAGCTGGGAGAAATTGTCCAGAAGGTTCGTCCATTTATGGTTTTAAGAAATTAAGAAAATAAAACTCTTGTACGTCTGTCCATCTGGTATTCTCATCTTCATCAAATGCAGGAAATAAAAAAAATAAATAAAAAACAGAATGGCTATGTGCCAGTTTAGTACATTTTACTGCATCAACTAATGATCATGAAAGCATAAGGTGTTTATCTTAAGAGGAACCATGTTTCTAGTGGTATTTTCATGCATGCTAAATTTCCAAAGAGGAACTACAACCTGTCAGTGACCAGCTATTTCTTTTTAAATCAGGCCCCTAAAACGCACAACACGAAAAAACAGATTCACACATTCCTAGTTCTTGAGAGTAGCCTGAGTAATGCATTCTTTATCTTTACATTCCTGGCATATTTGAAGGCGGCTGTACCTTGAGGAAGCTTGACGGGGACTGCCAAAGAGGAGAGCTGGATTCTGTTTGTGTTTACAGCTCCGTGATACTGTGAAATGTTTGAAAGGAAAAAGGGAGGAGAAGGAATATTCATAACTAAGATGAATGTAAAGTGGGTCAGAAGTTTTCACAGGTAGAAGGGGAGACAGGCCTGGATATGTTGTAGTGCCCAGGGGGAGTGAGGGAGGAAGGGAGGGAGGGAGGTCGGGGGGAGGGAAGGAGGGAGGGAAGTTGCAAAGCGAGAAGCAAAGGGGACGGCAGGGAAAGAAGGAGGAGACTGAGAGAGCACTGCAACTGTTAAATGACTTTTGACTCCTGGGGGAGTTTGTGTTGGTGAACGCTCAGCAGAGAGCAACAGGCTGAGAGAGAGAGAGAGAGAGAGAGAGAGAGAGAGAGAGAGAGAGAGAGAGAGAAAGACCAGTAACTCTGAGACCACACTGTAGTGACATGAGAGATAAAGATGAGACGATGGAAGTGAAGAGGACAAACAGAAGATGGAGCTGCAGAGATAGCAAGAGTAATTAGAGAGAGGCAGTAAGAGGTGCAGGGAACCTGTGGGGGGGGGGGCTCAGTATTTAGAGGACTTTATTTATAGCGCTTCTATAGCCAGCTCTGGACACCTGCCCGGCACGACAGGTACAGTTCTCACCTCTTTGACTGGATAATTCTCCACAAGGTGATGCTGCATTTGCTTTTGCCCTCCCACTTTGCTCGACTGCTTAAAAAAGCTGAGGCCGACACTCTTATATAAAACAGCGAGTGTATTTTCTGCCTGTTATTCAAAGTTGAGAATCATTCAGTGTGGGTTTTTCTTTTTTTTGTTGTTTTCTCTAAACAGTTGATAAAAATGTTAGAGATCATTCAAACTTTATTTGAGATATCTGGTGCTAGCCACATGAGGACAGACCTAACCAGATTTGTCAGTTTCACATGTTTAACCATTCACAGGGGTTAACAACAAGCCTACGGGACTTTCATGTGAGAACTGAGAGTCACGGCTTCTGTGCTGGTGTATAGTAACAGTCACATTATTCTAATAGACTTGGAGGACCAGAGGGGAAGGAAGGAAGTGTGGATTTCAGAGAGTGATTTAGCTTGTTGACTCTGATCGGATGTTTTTTGCGCTACTACGAGGTGAATCAGATTTAGGTCTGTCCACTGTTGTTCTCATTCATTGTCTGCTCCATACGTATGGAGGCAGAGCACTTACTGAATGATTATCAAGTTAAGACCTTCGCTGTTTTTCATGGTTGGTCCCTCTCAGAGGTTGATCATCGTTTAGTAATGACTTGCCATTGTTTGCTCAATTCCTGTTTTTGAACTTTGTGCCCGCTTGTTTGTTTGTGCATGCAGGTGCTTAAGAGGTAAGAATCATTCTCCATATTGAAGTAGTTTTATACCAAGAGCATTTTGTCCAGTGAATTCAGGGTCATGTATGTTAGTTTTTGAAGGGCACACAGTCATTAAACTAAAAGTGGTTGGATGGCTCAGTTTTCTGGACTTCCCCCTCTTCTCAAACCCCCCCCTCTGAATGAGTGTCTCAGGTTTAAATTACCACATAGTAATTATAATTGTGCATGACTGCTATGGTAAATGCAAACGCTGCTGATGTGAGTGCCATGGTATAGGGACACACACAAGCTTCTGTAATGCAGCTCAGCTGTACAGTACATGCTGCGTTGTGGTTGTGAACTGCCTGTGTGTGTGTGTGTGTGTGTGTGTGTGTGTGTGAGAAACAAAGTGTTCTTCGGTACAGCCTGCAGGTTGATAATACTGTGATGACAGTTAGACAGTTGAAGTCTGCCTGAGGACTTTGTCGGATAAACAGCTGCTCAAATTGACCTTTTAGCTCATCTGCCCAGTTTTTCCCTCTTAATAACTCACCAGCACCTGCAGTAACAACAACAGGTAATATGCAGGTTTTGTAGATTTTAATCTACCCTATCCATTACCAATGTTGTTTTTTGTGAATGGAATTACACACTAGAGCCATCATGGCTAGTTTAAATTAGCCCCTGGCTAATTGAGGCCGGGGTCACCCTCGCCCCGTGACGTTTGACGTGCCACAGCTTCATCATGATGTCTTTTTCTGGAGAACTGCATCCACACGATCCACACCACATCCTTCACACCGAAGAAAGGGCTCTTGTTTCCTCTTTGGCTGTGTGCGTGTGTTTGAGTGTTTGTGTGTTTCCTCTCACACACTGCGGGGCAGTCGAAGTCAGCAGTCAGCTGGTGTTGTTGGGGTCCCACACTGGAGTTGCCAGGTCTGAGTTTCACAGTAGGACACTCTCAGCTGAGCAGCAAGCAGTCAGCAAAGTTCAGGAGAGAGAGAGAGAGACAGAGAGACAGAGGCAAAGAGAGGGCTGAGCTTGGATTTGACAGCAAAATGAATCGGGGGATGTTACATTAAGGTATGTGAGTTTAAAATGATCTTCAAAGAAACAGAAAACAACAGCTTTTCTGTTGCAACATGTAACCTATGAAACAAGAATCTCCAGGTGAAAATGTAACTCTAGGAGATTTTAATGTTTAACTTCCATTTTTAGAACGGCATGAGTCTATGAGTGCTTTTTTGTTTAAAGAGCAACATTTTGGTTATGTAACATTTTTGGTTGACATTGAAGATATAATCTAATCTAATCTATATAATAGACAATACATAATCAACATATTCACTGATTTTGAGCTGCTATTGGATGACTTATTAAAAGTGCGGGATGGAGAAAATAATGAGAGGCTCAAGTACAGACACGACAGACTGAAAAAAAAAGTGAAAAGGCGTCACCCATGTGAGCTGTCAGAGGTGACTGACTGTAAATGTTATTATTTATGGGGCTAAAAAAGAGCATTAGAGAAATGCAAGGCTGAGAGGAGTTTATAAAAGGCAAGAAAGACAACAAGGTAATGAAAAGGAGTGATGAGGAAATGCGGAGCAGGTGTAAAAGAGATCTAACATAGTTACAATATGTTTCCCAGTCTTTTTATAGCTGTGACCTGGTGGCAAATAGAAAATATCTACTGGTGAAGTCCAAGTATACAAACAAACTAGCAGACATGACGAGGCTTGGCTAGACAGGGCTTTTGTTCTGCAAGGCTTTGATATCTTTTATGTGTGTTGAGCTGCAGACACCAACAAGAAAAGAACTAAATCTGTTCAATTGTGCCTATAATCAGCAGTCAGTGTTTGAACATGCATGTACATGCATGTGTGTCATTGCATCTTTCTGTGTTAGTTTCAGCCTTTGTGTGTATGTGTGTCCATGCATGGTTGTGTACATTCTTGTTGTCTGCTTTTTTTTTTTTTTTTTTTCAGAATGCTACACCCACATAATAGCTCATCTTTGTTTCCTAGACAACTACAGATAGAACTGCTTTCAGGCACAGACCACTGCTGTAAAGTTAGCTCACCGCCTGATCAAGCCACACACCATTATTCACATCACGACATGACAAGACAAGACACAACACAACAGGACACAACCCAACGCGACACGACACAACACGACACAGCACAGCACAGCACAGCACAGCACAGCACAGCACAGCACAGCACAGCACAACACAAGAGCTTTCTTTTAATCAAGTAAGGCGGATGCATTACTTTACAGAGCGGCAAATTGCAATGAAATTAATAATACTTTTCATCTTTTATGACTTTTAAACTGCAGGTCCCTGTTATGATTCACATGAACTGAATTTCTATTAAGGTAACTTAATAGAACTTTTCAGTACGATTGTGGCTAACCTGTAACTACCATAGTTACAGTGAAGTGGAATAAAAGGTGTCGATCAGTTGTGTAATCTTCCTTGGTGTTGATATTGATGTTGACATCTGTTTGGGTCACTAAAAGTCCGCCTCTACATTTTTTTTTTTTTGAATGTTCCATCTCTGTGACCTTGGACCCCTTGTTCTGGTTCAGTTTAGATGGACAACTGAAAGTAGTTCATCTCTACAGAAACTGCACTGTTACATGAGACAGTTTATGAATCTTCTGTTACAAAACCTGAGGGGATCCTGTGAAAACAGTAGCAGTTGTTTTCAAGCGAGGTATTTCAATTAATATCTTATTGAGAGCTAAATCATGAAAGTGGAGCGTGAACATGCTGGAGGCTGTTGGAAACTAAACATGTCCCACAGCTCCTCTCCTCTTGTCTCCTTTCCTCTCCCCTTGTCTCCCCTCCTTTTGCCTCCTCTCCTCTTGTCTCCTCTCCTCCTCATGGTTCTCTGCCTCAGCAATAACATCTGCAAAGGCATCATATGCTTTATAAATATCACATGCTTCATTTGTGCATGTGTCTATGTGTGTAGTGTATTTTTTTGTTTAATATTTTTCTACTATTTATATTTTGATTATATTATTTTATTTATATTTGTTAGATAACCCATTTAATTAACCTCAGAAAGTGATGAGAGCATACATTTCTGTTTGTAAGCAAACAGACACAATGTCTTTGTGTCTACATGTCATTCTCACAGTGAAAGTAGTGAGAAGTGTTGGTTTGTGCTCTCAGTTTTCCCACCACGCCCTCCTGACATTACATCAGTTTCAGGGCAGAAGTGTACCTGGAGCCCACCTTGCACACAGGAAGGTGTCATTTCCTGTTCTGGCAGAGTTAGAAAAGAAATGCAGAACAGGTTTTGGTGTTGTGGGAAGCCTCCTGTGACATGACTCTAAACCCAACACAAAACATTGTGCACAAAACATGTTGATTTTTTTTATATATTATATATTATATTTATATATATCGCATGCCTAATAAGCAATGGTGAGAGGCTGGAAATAAATAGGTGTTACTAGAGAAGCAAAGGCAGAAGTGACAGTGTATGGTAGGAGATGGCAACAAGTTTAAACCTCAGCTACTTTTAGCACAACTGCCACTTACAATGTGGATCTGGCCAAGTCATAACAGAGTGTCTGTCCAGGGTTGTAACTCTTTTTAAAGTGTAATAGTGAATCCCACTGTATTTACCTGACCCTGGTATTTTAGCCTGGATTTGCAGCAGTTAAACAACATTAATTTTCTCATCCCAGATGAATCAGGTTTATCACAACATTTCCTTTGTCAGTCATTACGAATTATACTAAATGTTCTTAGCCACACTAGCACCATGGCTTTAGGGTTGGCAAAGTCATGTCAGTCACTGTCAGTCACTGTTAGTTGGTCCATACGTGGATATCTCAGCAACTGTTGAATGAAATTACAATGAAATTTTCTACAGACATTCATGGTCCTGATAGGATGAATCCCACTAACTTTAATGATCTTCTGACTTTTCCTGCAAGTTTGCGCGCATACAGCTGTGAGTTAGATGTGTCAAACCTCTTGGATGGGTTGGTAAATTTGGCACAGCCATTCATGTTCCCCTCAGGATGAAATGTAATAACTTTGGTGAAAATATTAATTTGTCTGATACTTTGGTTTATGGCCAAATGCCTGCAAAACTAATTACATTCCAATCAGCATCATCTACTTGGTGATCAGTGATGAGCAAATAGTCAAAAGATAATCATATCGCTTAAGCATCAGCATTTTAACAATGTCATTGTGGCCATGCTGGTATGCTAACATAAGCATTTAGCTCAAAGCATCACTGTGCCCATACAGTCCCACAGAGCTTCTGGCATGGTTATAAATTCTAGTCTAGTTGTTTCTCTCTCTTTCAACTCTTTCTTGTTATTGCCTTAATTTTGTACTGGTATTAACATGTGGAACAAATTTCGCTAAGAGGCTAAAATTAATCCTAAATTTATTTTCAGATGCATTTCCTCAGGACTTTTTTGCACTAAATATGTTTTGGTTAGCAGCAGGCTCTCAGAGGCTTCTGCTGTTGCACCCGGCTCTCTCTCATATTGAATCAGGGTTTTTTTTTTATATAACTGAATCTGTGTATGTCTTTTAAAGTCAATCTTCTTGTTGAGGTTCTGTTTTAAATATCTATCCGTAATTAAATGTCTTTTTTTCTGTTTATGAATGAAGCCTAAGCAGCTAGCTTGCTAAGTAGCTACTAGCATGCAGCCAGTGTGCCATGACGAGGTCAATTTACTCAAGTAGGGATCAAGATAAAGGTCCAGACATCAAGTGTTTATACACAACATCTTGCAGTGCTTCTCTCAGGTATCCATCCTCAAACAAATACCAGAGGGTAATATAGCAACACACACACAAAACAAACACAAGCAAACCAGTTAAACTGACCAGGAAACACGACAGAAACCTCCCCTAGTTCCTAGTCGTACCCTTCCCTCCAGCCTTGTGTCACAGCCTTTAATTAGCCCAGAAATCCAACCGTGTTCACGGTTGATCCCTTATTACATTTCACAGGGATTAGTTTCCCCTTACAAGCCATTATGTAACTCAGACATCATCAGGCATTGCAAATTAGCTTATAGGCAGTAATGGTACGTGGCACTAGTCTATTCAATAACTATTCAGTGCTGCGTAAACATCTACCCTCCTCTCTTTTAACCACTCATCATCCTCCTTTATTCAAAGCCTCCCCCTCATCTGTCCAGCTCCCAGGCCAGCTCTGGTGCCTCATAGTAATGCCTGTAGGAGCATTATCTACACCTTCCTCCCGGAAACCAGAGATTAAGCACTTCAGTTCCACTGTACTGATTCTAATAACTGTGACACTGACCACTGACTTCCTGCATGGGTGTGCATGTGCTAGGTGCACACTTGCATACACTTCCTGTGCATAAAGTGTGTGCGCATGTGTGTGGGATTAGTGTGAATCCTTGGATTAGGTGGACTTTACACACCATTAGAGGTGCCTCTCCCCTTCCATACTGAAACTGCAACGATGCCCCTCTTGCCTCCGGACACCTATGGCCTTTCACTTCCTGACTCATGCTGTGAGGAGGAAATAGGACATGAGTTTTGAGTCAGATTGTCCCATTTCCACAAATCAATATCAGCATCACATATTACTACCATTCTGCTTAGTGAAACTGGAACTCATGTCATGTTGTTTGACTCATCCAACAGGATACCACTGTCTATGACAAGGAAAAGGACATCATCTCTGTAGTAAGTCCATTGTCTATTTTACTTTATCTATTAGTAATTTAAAATATCATTTAGGTTTTTCCTTTTACTTTGTGAAGGATTGAATGAGATATTCTTTCAAGTACATCAAACAGATTTACAATGACCGAATAAATTGTAGTCCAAACCGACCTCTCATCAGAGTAAATTGTGTTACAATCACCAGTGCCGTCAGTTGGTGGCGGTGTGCGACGAGATCCTGAACTCCAGCCCTGAAGCACTTCTTACCCACACTGCCCAGCTTGAGAGTGTTGACTTAGTCCCTGTGTCACCTGGTGATCAGCTGGTAAGTTCTTGCCCTTTCTACCTCTGATGTAGAGCCAATGAAAAGTTTTTTTTATCTCTAGTTACTATATTATGTCCCAACACTTTTACTGTACAGTATAATTTAGCATATACAGTAACTGTAACACATATGGAAGATGCAGCATGTATGTATCCTTAACTTTCTGATGTTTAAATTATACAGTATTACATGGGGTCTGTCTGGGGGGGTCCCAATGATCCTTTTGATAATGTATAAGATGTTTATATATATATATATATACATATATAAAACAAGCAATATAAAGACCATCTTAGACTTTGGAACATTTTGATGGACGTTTTCTACTATTGTCTGATATTTTATAGATTAAAAAATTGATTAATCAAGAAAAGAATAAATATAATTGATTAAACAATAATGAAAAATAATTGCTGGTTGCAGCCCTGTGATCATTGTTTTCTGCCTCACTATTATCATCTCATACTAGAATTATTTTTCTCATACTATGTTGATTTTTTTCATACAATTTTGAAAGCTGTGCTATTCAAGCGAGGAATACTTTTGATTTTAAAAATAACAATGACCTTAGTGTATTTGTCTGGCACAATATTTCAATGTAAATAAAAACATTACATTTTAAATTCAGTATTTATTCACTCCATCAACTCTCTTAAACCATTTTAAGGTCTTTTTCAAGAGCTCTGCCTCTTCTTTTTGCAACATCTGTTCGTCTGTTCATCTCATCTGTGCAGCATTTTACCATCTCGTTAGTATCATTTTTAAAATCCTCTCCCCATTCTATCACTTCACCAGAATCTTAACAATCAACTCTTACTCTGTCTTTCTTATTCTCTCCCTCTCCTTTGTCATTTTCAGTTTTCATTTTTTACCTTCATCATTGCCTGGAGGTTTCCATCATCACTCGGTTCCACTCGTCTCTTCTTTCATCTAACTCAAGGTTCTCACTGTACCAGCTTCTATTCCTTTTACTTTCTCAAAAACACTCTCTCTCATGGAGTTCTTCATTAACTATTTTTATTCCTGCCTCGTCTTTTCTCTTAATGACTTATCCTTCAGTTGGCACATTGAGTACAGTTGTAGCTCTCTTCTCACATCATCTAGTATCCTTTTAGGTTTCATTACTAAAGAGCCTTTCTGATCAGTGCATTTTTCCAATTTCCTTCCCTTCATGTACTCAGCCCATTAGGTAAAAATCTCTCTTGTTAGATGATAATAGCAGTCTCAGCTCCTCATGCTCGCTCACCCACTTGATTGGTCTTTCAAATCATCTTCAGTGCATTCTGTCTTCACAGAATTTATGCGCATCATCACCCCTGATGCTGTAGACAATATGTTTTGTTTGAGTTTGTGCCCTTGGATACATAATACCACATGTGTAAGAGTAGTGGGGTGTCGGGGGGTAATTCTTGTTTCAATGTGTCAACAGAGGAACGCTGTCTCACCTGACAACTAGCGACATCACCTGTTTATCCACAAACACATGGAGAGTAAACGGAACTAAAGACAGAAAGGGAAATGAGAGGCAGGAAGAATTATGAGTCGCATAAACTGAGTGTACAAAACACGATGTACACGTGTTCAAGTTATGAAGTAAACGTGAATCTGAATTTACAAGCTAGTTTTCATTTTCCTCAGCTACCTTAGCTTAAAGTACAGGAAGTGATGTTCATGACAGCATGAAAGCCCTTTCTTTGGACTTAACAGAATAGGTGGTTAGCATGGGTGATGAAAAACAAAATGAACAAAATATTACGTTTATAATATATATTATACTATTATATATTCACTTTTAGCTTATATCATCAATAGCACAATTTATGGTATTTATAAACAGTAAATAGCATTTAATAAGTGGTTAATAAAGCACTATAATTTAGCTGTACACACCTGAAATCGTTAGTTTTTATTAATGCACAGTATTTGTTGACAATTATAACTTATCTTACTCACTTATATCATTACACACTTTGGCTTACACCTGACTACAGCTACATCACACCATTAACCATTCAATAAATGTAAAATGATGCTAAATGCTAAATGGTGGGTTTAAAGTAAAGTGTTGCCAATTAAAATTAAAGGCCCCACATTGACATTGACCAGTGTAACTTTGTGACATTTTCAGGTTCACATTTGAATTTTACAGCCACAGAATTTGAAATGTACGTGTCACAGCTATTGCCAATAAAACCCAGAATATGTGTGGATATTTTTCAGCAAATAAGTTGATAGAGTAATATTCGTATGTCCAATGTTGTTTTTATGGGTAATAGCAAGAGATGATCACACAGGATCTGCTCTTTCCAGTTCAAAGTTTAAATCTATCCATGTGTCTGTTACTCGTGTGGTATGTATTGATTAGGTGATCGGGGCTGGTCTGGGGTGTGATTAGTTGGCTCTCCCTATTCCCATTATGACTTAAAATAATCAGTCAGGGCAGGCTGATGGGTAATTACAGGCTGAACCATCGATACACCTGGAGACAGACATCAATATCTCCACAGACAGAGCAATGTGCATTATGGTGAATCATTTTGACTCAGTGGTATTACATTCATGGCAAAGTCTTAAGTGTATATAACATCTGTTTCTCTTTCTCTCAGGGGATTGAGATAACGTCCACTGGCTCCAGTAACCACTACGTGACCGGAACTGCTGCTGAGGTCAGGCTCCCCCATTTACTTTCCCTCTTTCACTGTTGACTCACGAGCCACGCAGAGTTAACCATCACTGCCATCTCAGTGCTCTTAAAACCAGTCCTCTGAAGAGCAGCATTACAGACCACTGCTCCTCTTGAACTCCAGACCAAACATTTCAACCTGTTTGTCTCTTTGCAGGAGCCCCACGCAAAGAGCTGTGGGTTACATTCCAGAGAGTCTAGCACCTTTCCAGTCTTTCAGTTCTTACCTGGTTCTGTCTTTTTTCTTTTTTTTTTTAAAAAAAGTGACAAAACACTGATGTGTAAGAGATAAGTTATTACTGTGTGGCTCAGGTCTGTCGTATATTTCTGCAGGAGATAACACCTTTACACTTGTTCACACTTCTGCTTCTGACATTGTACTTGTTTGTCTGGGCTTTTCATCTATAAGGAACTGGGAGTATATTTTCAGTTATGTAAAGTAAATATAAAGAGGGGGAGTTTCAGTTTTCCTTATCTGGCTCCTTTTCAAAAACACATGAACTCTTATGTTTGTGGCAATTTCACTTAGTGGTTGTTTTCAGTAGCAGGAGAATCGGTATACAATGCTGTCTTTCTCTGCTTTAAATTCTGCTCTGCAAAGTTTCATTTATCATGAGAGCATGAGCCCTGTACTAGGCAGAAATCCCCTTGGAAGTACTTTTGTGTGACACATTATTTTTAGCTGTAGGCTTATCTTTCTCTTTTGAAATTGAAACCAATCCGAGCCCTTGTGCAGCAAATACTTTGTATTTATTAATACCTACTCGAGGCTGCTGGTTCCAAATACTGCAGACAGCACGTAAACAATCACGACACAGCATTGCTAACAATAACTATATGTCTGTGTATTGTTGTATTATTAGTATGTCGATTTTTGTTAACTGATTTGCCTTTTAATACTCATAAAAGCTTCCCTCGGAGCCAAATGCATGATTTTCTGAGAAAGCCAAAGATCAGTGACATCAGGGGGCTTGTTAAATAAACAAGCGAGCCATGGGAGGATGGAGGAGTATTCATCAGGCAGAATAAGGAGGGCTTGTAAAATGAGTGTGAGGGCAGCTCTCCTGTGGGACAGAGAGAGATGGAGATGTTATTTTTCCATGATGTCAACAATAAAGTACTCGAGACTCTCCTCCTGTAGTTGCATCACCACAGCTACTGCTAATAAGATACGTGACCACTAGCCCACAAACGCGCACACACAGCATAGATGTGGGCATTATCTTTGTACTGCTTCTCTCTCTCTCTCTCTCTCTCTCTGTCTCACACCTGTTAAAATATAGTATCGCCATCAGTGTGCATTTAGGATTTTCCTAAGGTCCAGGGCAACATCAAGACGGTTGTTACAGGTTCTTATCTGTGTCGTTTCTCCTCATGCAGCCGTCAACAGATGTCTATGTGAAGATCTTGGCTGGTGATGAAGTGATTCAAGTCAACGACCAGATAGTAGTGAGTGATCCAGAGTGTGATATAGTACTAGTACACTAGCCTGCATGTATTTTGGATTGCGCCATTGCACTGTATATTTGCAGTCCTGTCAGTCTTTCATCTTCTTGTCAATACGAACTGTTTGTTTCAGCTACAAAAGGAGCACACACACAAAGTTCAGCACATTTACTGTCCCTGCGTCTGAATCTGCGGCATTCGTACTGGAGTAATCACGTGTGTCACTGTGTCAGGTCGGCTGGAGCAGAGCAAATCTTGTGAAGAAGCTGCAGGAGAATCCCAGTGGAGTGACTCTGGTCGTGAAGAAGATCCCTGGGTCAACGCGACTCAGAGACCCAGTCCAGCAGACCTCCCCAACACAGGTCAGGGATCTTTCTCCACTCACTTCATCACTCCACCAATTATATTAACCTTTCTTCAAGTAGTCAGTGAAATGTGTGTGTGTATATATATATATATATATATATTTATATATATACACCCTTTTAATTTACAAAGACAGTGTTTAGTTGTACACTATCCAGGGATACATGGTAGTAAGTAAATAAATAAAATATTGGGATTTAATGAATATTTAGATAGTTTTTTTTTTTTTACACTATGATTACATCATCTGCTTCCTCATCCATGTGTCACACACAGTACCGTCACCACCAGCCTCGCTTGGCCAGAACGATGGGAAAGTCTGTGCATAGATTAGAATTACTCACCACACACAGACTAGAAATTTTTTTATTTATTTTTTTAAAATCTTTTAATCTTACTTTTTCGATCACAAGCTTTTAGGCTTGAAAACTTAAATGTGGAAATCTTCTATTAATTTGTGAAGCCATTAGAAGAAACCATATGCCAACAGTATAATTGTTGCACGCGTACAATTTTTTAATAATGAGCCACTCGGTTTAAGTTTAGGATGATTACATCCCAGGGTGAAACATCAAGTCATCCTTCAGAAGCTGGATTGTTTACATAGTTTATGTCAGGGGAACCTGGACCTTCCCTGTCATGAGAATCCTCTCTTCGACTTCCATTTAACATCACTTAGGATCCGTTTCCATAAACACTTACACGCTTTCAGTAGTCACTATGCCAACTGTTGTTTGTCTTTGAACTACACACTGAGTTACATGCTGCATCTGAGAGCGCGCACTCACACACACACACACCCAGACACTCACACTGAGCATTTCACACCCCCTTGTGACCATTACCATGTTAATCGCAGATCTAGCTGGTGGCGCAGGCTGTGAGAACACACACGAGGAGAAGTGAATTGGCTGTGTGTATCAACTCCCTCACAAGATTCCCTGCTTTTAGCAAGAGTTTCAAGAGTTGTGTGTCTTTGTGTTGTCTCATCTCCTGAGCTACACTGCACGAATGGAGACCTAGGAGAAGGCACCATTATAACCCACATAACATCCACATCCTTATTCCCCTAACCCTTAAGTACACACACACACACACACAGCTTAGCGTGCACACTCTCATGCTTATTTATGCTGATTTCTTTTCAGGAAGAGGAGAAAGAAGAGAGGTCAGAGGAGGAAGACGAAAAGGACGAGGAGGAGAATCCAAGGCACTCCATATTTGAGAGGGTAGCAGCATCTGTCAGGTCCCTGTCTTTTAGGTGAGAGCATAAATTAGCTTTTCTTATTATAATTAGCTGTTACCTTTTAATAATTCTGTGTATACAAGGTCATCTTGAGCAGCATATTCAATTTTGATGTGATTATTTCAGTTGATTAGCCAAAAACAAATCACCACCTGGGTTATTTTTTATCCATTAATAGTTTCTCAATTCCACAATATTCTATATATAGGATCGCAAAACATATCAGTCTCTTAATATAAAATTAGATATTCAATGAAAGGCAACAACAACAAAAAAGAAAAGAAAATGTGCAATCATTTGGAAAGCCATGAGAAGAAACTATACAGTTAGCTGATACAGTAAATTGGCTCTATTTAAAATAAGCTTTGATTAGCTGTCTTTTAGGTGAGCGTATGAAAGCAAAGAAAGTCATTGCATACAACTGAATGATTCATACAATCAAAATACATTCATGTACTCTACTTATATGTGTAAATTCAAAAATTAACAGTGTCAAGAGGGATTTTTGACCACCAGTTGTGCTATGGAGCATTGTGGTAGAAATGAAGACAAAAGATGAAGAAAAAAAAAAAAAACGTAAATGATTAGAGTATGCAAAATCGTAAGTTGTAGATGAGAAGCAAATTCCTTAAAAGCAAATTATCTTGCTATTTTTAGGTCTAGTGTCTGGGTCTCTCATCAAAAATGAATTTAATCTTGACTATGAAAATAAAGCAGGATTAACCAGTAAAATGATTTGTGATCTGTGGGAACTTGCATTGTTTTATTTAAGAAGCACAACTCAGCATGCAGACATAGCAGGTTGGACATAAGTTTGCTTCTCTAAATTACCAGAGATTTACTCAGTAGAGCTGAACCTCCCACGAACCCTTCTGACCTTGTTAATCTGCCAGGAACTGGTAGGTTTATGCTGAGGTCACACTGCAAATGCCATAAATTCCACTACAGACCAACAACCCACGTCTGACTGGAAATGAGTGAAAAGGAGGAGATGATCGAGGAGAAGGATGAATAGATGAGAGTTTTGGAGAGGTGATGAAAGACATACACAAGGGGAGGGATAAAAAGAAAAACAGGAGAAGGGAGGAAAAAGTGATGGAGAGTCAAAAAGAAACAGTGAAAGCTGATGGGGAGCAGGCTTACCCAGACAAATGGAGTGAGTAGGCGGGGATGGTGCATTAAGGTTGTAAATAATCCCGTCATGTGCTGATACACTACAGCTTGAGTCTAAGGAAAAAAAACAAGCAGAAACTTTATACTTCTGGCATATAGAGTCATATTTCATTCCTTTAAACAGGAGCTATTTGTAAGTTTTGCTATTGCTACATAGCCAGTGTTAGCGTCTGTGTTAACAGCTGTCTACTTACCAGTATAGCATCAAACTTCATTCCTCTACTTGTCAAGAGCCGTCTCCAGCAGTGGAAAGCAACCCTTTTGTTTTGCTTTTATTTCTATCCTGTCTTTTCTTCTACTGAAGTTAGCATGCTAACCAGCTAGCTCCCGGTCAGCCTGTCTCATCACTTTCTGATACTGAGTCATTTTAGCCACTTAAGTCTAGTGTGCCCTGAAGAAGTAGCGCTGCTCAGAGGGCAAGTGATAACCTCTAGTAAATGCAATGATGGCTGCTCTTGGCAAGACTGGTAAGTAAACAGCTGTTAACACAGACGCTAACACTGGCTATGTAGCAACAGCAAAACTTACAAATAGCTCCTGTTTAAAGGCCCTGTTTGCTTGATGTGTATTTTTCTGTAAATTACACACTTTTTGATTTCCGATTCTAATTTCTTAGATGTCGTAGCCTCTGAGAAGCACCTGAATGCACCATCAGTGAGTTATTTCAATTGATGTCATGCTCAGTCTCTGATTTCCGTTACAGGAAAGCCATTCACGGGCCAGAGGTACAACAGCAGCCTATGGGACAGGAGGAATCAGAGTTGTCTTCAGACAAGGAGCTGGAGGGGAGTCTGACTCTCAATTCATATCAAAACCAACAAAGGGGGTTGTCACCACTGACGGCCTCAGGTAAGAAATGTATTGTAGAGGAAATCCAGGCCTTTTGCAAGATGTTTTCTTCCCTCAAAAGTCCTCAATATGTTTCAGTTGTTAAAAGCAGGATATTGGCTGGAACATAATGCTGAGAGGGTTCAGCAAAAAAGTTGTCTTTATTAAACATTTATGAAAGAATAACTATCACTTAAGCCGTTTAAATATATCACTCGGAAAAAATGTTAAAAATGCTAAATAATGTAAGAAAGAAAATCCACGATACATTGTCTGCAGGTAAAATAAAAACTCTCAATTTATGTGCTACTATAAAGGCAATTTTAAATCTGTGCCCTTGAGATCTTTCAGTTTTAACCGTCTTTCTTTAGCCCATAAAGTACGGGAAGTTTCAGCTTTTTAGTCTCAAATTGCGCACCTGATTCTTTAGACTTTTTTTCTGTATTAAAAACTGATTAAGGCGACAATGTTGGATTTCATTTTACTTTGACATTAAAAAGGTTTTCAGAATCGTAATGGAAAACTAGTCTGAGTAATTGTTGGCTTAATGGATTTACTAGCATTTGTACCATGAAAACCAGTGACATTTATTGCTCAGACACTGTGGTGTTGATTGAGGAATAAACTATTTGATATAGATCACTGACTGAAGACAAAAATTCAGTCCTGAATATGGTGTATTGATTAGTAATTGCATTACTGTCATTTAACTGTCTATGCAAATGTTCTCAGGGGAGTTTGAGGGTTTGGAAGGTTCAAGACTCTCCCCGAGGCTCTCACCAAGACTCAGAAACGACCAGTCACCGTCACCCAGAAGTCCTTCACCCCTGAACTTTGGGTTACTCAGAAGTGCTTCACCTCAGTCACCTGACCAGGAAAGAGGTAGCATCAGTTCCTGCCCTGAAATGGTGGGACACACGGTGAGAGGAAAATAACTACACATTTTAGTTTCAATCTGATCAGTTGATGTTTGTATTAAACTACATTTAAAACACTGACTGAATTTTGTTCTTATTTCTGATTTCAGGGGAATAAAGACACTAAGAAAAGCTCTACAAAAGGTACAATTTTTATAATAACATAAGCAGAAAATTCCGCCAGAACCAGTTCAAAATGAATTCAAGCTAGGGTTGACAGGCGTCTAGACCAACTCTATTGAAAGCACCACTGTTAAAAGCTATTCATAAAAAGAATTCTTACTAATCAATGCATACAGATAGGTTCATTATATGCTACAACAAATAATGTATTGGCTATGCATTTGTGTACTTTCTAAAATAAAATCCATGCTCGGAAGAGAAGAACAAGGATAAGCAAAGTGGTAAAAAACTATTATTTTATATGTTTATCCTTCGAAATAGGCTGAGGAACATTTGCAGCGTGCGATGACACTGTTCAACTTTGCATTTACATTACTTGCGATGAACAAACGTTGAAGTTTGTGTGTGTGTGTGTGGGGGGGTATTTGTGTTCACACTGCTAAAAGAATGTGGACACGTGGTCCAGACCACCTCTGAATGTGATCAGATCTCAAAAGCGTCCTCAATACATCTTGAGTGCGTTTAAACTAGGGTTCTGATCGAAGATCATCGCTGATTGCTCATGCCTTTGCAAATGTTAAAACAATATTTGACTTGTTTTCCCATTAATGTAGTTAATTATTATTTGTAGTATTAAATTAATACTAAATTGAATTTGCCTGCCACAGTTTAACATATGTAACTGCATATAACTGACACTTGCAACACGCGAGCACATACACACTCCGAAGAGTTCAACAGTCAGAAGGAAAATTTGGTTCAGTTTCTGATCCTGCTGCTTTATATGGTGGTAAACAGAACTAAATAGACTGGAGTCATGAGGGACAAACCCGCTTTTTTTTCATGATGACGATGAAAATAAGATTAATCGGTCAGCACTACTTTGAAAATTTACATTTACTCATTTTTCAGATGCTTTTATTCAAAGCAACTTACAAGTGAGGGACAACACTAAAGCGTCAGTGCAGTAGGAGACCTTGAAGTACTAAATCTGTTCAGTAAGGAAAAGTGCAAGGACATCAGATAAAGAAGTGAACCTGAAATGCATAGTAACTGCTAGTTAGGCATGTTTGGGTGTTCGCGGTGTTAGGAGAGGAGGCGCTCTCAGAGGAGAGTCAAAAGTCAGAATACATGTCAAAAATAAACTAGGTTGTTATGCTTCTATAGTTCCTGGAACAATAAGTTAAAATGAGATGTTGAAATGTGATAAATGCCAGACACTTGTATCAAAACAAGGAACTAATACTTTGTTACATTGCCACTCTAAAACTGAACTTACCCCTGGTTGTCATTTCCTCACAGGAATGTCGACAGCTATGAGTCGGCGTCGGGTGTCCTGCCGTGAGTTGGGTCGTCCCGACTGCGATGGCTGGCTGTGGAAGAAGAGGAAGGAGAGCAGTGTCTTCATCACCCAGAAGTGGCAGCGATTCTGGTTTGTCCTCAAGGGGCCTTCACTTTACTGGTACACCAGCCAACAGGTGGGTATATGGGAGGAGGCAATTAATTCTTTCCAGACGCGTAATTGTTTTTTTTATTTTATATTTACAGCCATTTTGTATGACTAGGAGTCAAACGCAATATAAGCTATTTAATTAACTTTAGAGTTCAACTTTTTCAACTGTAAGTTTACTGAAATGTTTTTCTTTCAACAGGATGAAAAGGCAGAGGGTTTGGTCAACATAGCCAGCTACAGCATAGAAAGCGCCGGAGAGCACAAGAGAAAATAGTAAGTGTAATGCCTCTAGTCTTGATCTATGGAAATAACAGAGATGCTAACATCTAACCTAGGTTCAAGGACCGGTTTGCCTTAGAACTCACAAGAGGAGTTACAATGACGAACAGTTAACAGGTTTATTGCTCCATAGCAATAAAACAATTTACACAGCACTGCAATTAGTGTACAAACCAAATACATTTTTTTTTTTAAAGTAAAGAGAGTGCTTTCAAAAGAAGAAAATAAACAAAATACATATATACAATTTAAGATCCTCAACTCCAGCACTCCTTTGAAATTGAGGATTCAGAAAACCAAGAGTTCAGTTTCTTTGTCCCTTTGCAGGTGTGTGCATTGGATGTTCTACATCTATGACTAGTACTACTATCCTGGTAGAGTTAATAGTGTGCATGTGTCCTTATCTGGGGTCCATGTGAATTAATCAAGCTGGTCAGATGTCTTCTATGGACTGATCCTATGTTGGCCACACCGTTTCCACGTTCGTACGCAATCCCATGGGCTAGGCTCGCCATCACAGATTCCTCAGATTTTATCTGGTAAACAAAAAACAGTCTACACAAATAGTGCAGAATGATAAGTTACTCTGTTCCCCATGTCTGACATGAAGCCTCATCAACTTTTTTCCCTTCCGTCTTATAATATACAGTATAACCAATAACTAAGGATATACTTCAATTAACATGAAATGAATTATTCTTTATCATGTTTATAATTTAACATAAACAAATGGAATATTTATCATGAAATACCTTAGATCACGATATAAAGAACACAATATAATTAGATGAAATATGTAGCTTTTTTAAAACCACTTTTACATGTAACATAACTTTTTACTGTTTTTATACATTAACTTAATAAGTTCCTCTTAAACATGAATATGAATTAAATGAATCACTCCAAAATACAACTACAACAATTCAGCTCAGTTCAACAGTATAGCTGTACTACAAACATTGAGACAAGTTAACTCCACTAACAAATGCCTGTAATGTAAATGGGATAAATACAATGCGCCCTTAATATTTCATACAGCTATGAGCTGTTCCACTAATCAAACCAGCCTTTGGCGCTACGTCATTACAATGAGACCCTTCTAACCATGGCCAACGGCTAGCGGTTAGCCTCGATTAGCGCTAGCGATTAGCGTTAGTGATCTTTTCTGAACATTAAAACAATAATACAAAACGCACAAAAGTACAATGCAAACATTAGACAACATTTTCATAAACACGACTGGTTTTTATGAAAAGTATCTGAACTTGAACCTTGAAACTCTCCTCACAGTGGCTAGCAACAGACTAGCAAAGAATGTGTGCTTCAACTCACCGGGATTTCAACACTAATAACTCGACTGAAACTGTCTCCCTCAAGTTCACAGTCAGGATTCTAATAAAAGAACAGCTTATTAGGGTTGACATAGGGAAACATTCATGGTTGTACGGTTATTCCGTGGTGTTTCCTACCAAGAATTGTTTAGCTGATCTGCAGCACTCAAGATGTAACAGGAGGACGTCACAAGGGAAAGTGAACGAGTGTTGGGGAACAGGTGTGCAGATTATGACTTCGCCTGCTTCTCCTTCTTCTTCTATTGTGTTTTAGGGCAGTTGGCATCCAAAAGTCTAAAATTATACCGCCACCTACAGCTTACTTTCCCTCAATGTCCAGTCAACTCAAATGGGTTTTTCCTATAGGTTTTTCCAATCCAGTCATGCTTTGAAAAATAGATAACAATTTCCTTCCCGGAGCACAGTGTCCACATTTTATAATACTTTTAATGTTGCTCTCTGCTATCTTCCGTAATTGTATAATCAGTTCTACTCTTTCCTGTTTAAACTGTCTTCATGACATAAAAATATGTAAATTTATTTGCCTCAACCTGTTGGCAACGATCACAAACACCCATTGGATGTTTTCCTGCAATGTAGAGTGTACTGTTAAGGTTACTGTGTCCAATTCTAATCCTGCTTAATATCATTTGCTCTTTCCGTTTTGTTCCCCTGCCTCTTAATCGTCCCACTCTGTTTTGCAGCGTGTATTGTGCTCCCACAGGAAACAACATGCAACCACACTCCTAAACGACATATAGGGTTTTAGTAGCCCTATGTTTCATATGGGTTACGTAAGGTTGAATGATGGATCATCTTAACAGGCTGTTTAACATATTCTCTGGGAAGTTTGGAGATCTTATGAAAGATACGGTGCTGAAATGGAAAACTGTCTTTTAGTTTGAAACAGAAACTTTATTGTCCCTGTGCACAATGAAGATTTGTGTTGGTTTTATGCAATAGTTACATTCATGATGGAGGAAACTGTTCAAAACAAACCATTTTCTCTGTTTTCAAAATCAACTGTTCAGGAAAAAGTGTATCTTGTATCTTATGAATTCACAGAGTCTAATCACTACTCTCAAGGGAGAAGGGGAATGAGACTTTCTTCTATGCGTGTGTGTTTCTGCAGATTTATGTGTATTAATTTCACTGTGACCAGTTTCTTGTGCTCTGAGATTCACGTTCATGTTCGTGACTCCCCTCTCTCTCTGTTCTCGCTCCACCAGCGTGTTCAAAATGGGCCACCAGAGGTTTCAGAACTTCTTCTTTGCTGTCGACAATGTCAGCGACATGAGCAAGTACGTTCAGCCTGTCTGTCCTCTCTCTGCTTTTCTGTCTTTCTCTTTCTGCGGGCTCGAGGAGTAAGAGTAATAATTAAAGTTTAGCCACCAAAACTGAAATTCTCACATAAATAACCAACAGTGGGCTAAAGCCAGTGAAAGAGGATCTAGATTGTGTGGTTGTTGGGGGGGGGGGGGGGGGGCACCAGCTCCAATACAATGTCGTCATTCATTCATTTTATTGTACACAGTGAGCACAGCAGAGATGTTGAATCATGCTGTGACAGGTGTTGGTCTGTACTGCCCCCTACAGTTGTTTTTTTAGGTGTTTGTGCTGTAAAGTAAAGATCACTGATGTTGAAATTGAAATATATATTGGAGCATAATTCCAGACATTAGAGATGTACTAACAATATTTTTGACATCTTGTCATTTTGTTTCCTCCAGATGGATTAACTGTCTGATTACAGCCATACAGAAGCACAAGAAGTTCAACGAAGGCCCTGACAGTGAAGAGGGTAGGTTGATGTTCTCCATATACTTTTATCTGAGACCTAATCACTTAAACATGTGCATCTAAAATATCTATTTAGTGGTTTCTTACTTCCAAAATTCATTGCACCCGTACCTCAGCTTTATTAGCAATAATGCACAGTGGGCAAGATGGTGGTGCTTCCTCCTCCAGGTCCTCACACTTGTCCCATCATCAAAGATAATATTTTAAGATCGTTTGTTGTCTATGTTAATCTACGGTCATGGTGGTTTCGGAAGACAAAGTCAAATGGTAACATAAGCATAAATACTGTTGCTATGGTTACCTGCATTTTAACCAAGTCTTGTCAGACAGTTAAAAATGATCAGAAAAGTTGAATGTAGTACATAAGTATTGTGTATATGTATATTGATATATATGGTACCTCATATCACCGAGTTAACACCTGTGTTGATTTTTGGACAGAATGTTACAGCGAGACTGAATCAGAAAGCGAGAGATCTCCTTCACCCCGCAGAAGACACAAGGTGAGTGAGAGGGTTAGACATGCACACACACGCACACACACACACACACACACACACACACACACACACACACACACACACACACACACACACACACACACACACACCCACATACACACAGGCATAGAGTACGACTCAGATCATAATGTGTTTTCATTATGTGCCTCAGAAAGTGCAGTCCAACACTCTGCCTCGCCCAAAGGGGAAGACGAACAAGGCAACATTATCGGGTCTTCCAACAGGGGGCGGCAAAGGATCAGGTTTGTACTCTGTGACTGTCTCCACTCCTTGCTGCTTTCTAATTTTCTTCCTCGGTAAATAATTTCTTTAATCTGTGAAGACTGAGTCCCATTGATTGATGTTTTAATAGTTTGTGTTTGGAAAAATCTTCTCCTTCATGACATGTTGTTTCCTCGACTTTACCCTGTGGATATTTTGTCCAATCAGCTGTCCCCAAATGGATAGTTCCTAACAGCTTTGTGTGTATGCTGCTGTCAACCAAGTCCCAATGGCCGTGTTTTGTATTTACTTCCATCTCTTTCTCCTGTCACTTTCATGTGAGAAGGCGTCCCAGAGGATGAGATGGGTAAGATGTTAAACAACATTAAGGAGGGAGGAGTTTCTCTGATCGGCCACGAGCAGCCGTTTACGCACGACCACTTCAGGAAATCATTCATTCGACGCAACAAGAACCCTGTCATTAATGAGAAGGCGCACACGCTCCGGGCCCTGCAGAGCACTCTGAAGGTGAGCGGGAAAAGTCAGGTTTTCATTTACACACAACACACAACTTCATATAACAATATAATGACACAGGACAAACACTTTCACTCTGCTACGTTTTATCAATTATTGGACAAACCATGAATAGTGACGCATTCGCCAGTTAGAAATCACAGTGTTGCCGATAATCATTTATTCAAATCTTGAGTCTTAAGTTCCTATATTTTCTGTTTTGACTGAATTTTGCAAGTTTTAGGGACTGCATGTGATCAGGCTGAGATCAGGATCGTTCTCTTATTGTTAACAAAGTTCTGTAAAGAAGCAGATGTAATAGAAGTAGAAGTAGTTCAGCTGTGCAGCAGTCAAATGTTTTTTCATTTGATTCAAGGAAATAAGAATCAAACAAGGATGCTGTTCTCGTCACTCAAAATCAGACAAATTCATGTTTGATTAGTTTTGTGTTTTCACTGAAGCCCCTGTTTGCTCTGCAGGCAAAAGAAGCAGAGTTGCAGCAGATCAATAAGATCTTAGAGGACTCTGATCTGACAGCCTCAAAGTACCGCCAGTGGAAGGAGCAAAACGAGGAATTAATTCAAGAAATCGAGAAACTGACTGCACTCAAGGCCTCCAAAGGAGAGGACGACGCGGCGGTGCAGGGCATGCCTGCTGAGGAGGTTGCCTTGGAAACCGTCGCTAAGGAAACAGCCACGGCAGACACGGAAGGCGCATACAGACTGAGCCTGAGCGACGGGGAGCAGTTAGTGGACGCGGAGCCGTCTGACGTTCTCCTGGAGATCCCCCAGGGTTCTCCGGACACAGAGACCAGTCCAGTGTTAGAACTCTCTCTGGGGTCGCTGCAGGACTCAATAAACAAACAGCTGAGCGAGATGGTGGAGAGTGGAGAAGCTGCTGAGAACTACTTCTACATTTAAGACCACGGTGGAACAGTCACACCACTGCGGAACTGCCCTGTTAATGAAAATCAGACAAATGCAAGATGCTTGTGATGCGGCAGTGTGAGAGAGGTGCGCGTCAGCTGCTGACGTTCGCCCAAAAGGATCAGTTAAAAGCTGCCACTAAATCAACGCTTTAATCAAGTATGTCGGTGAAATGCATCAGTGCACACCTGTTTGTCTTTTTCTATAGGAAACACATTGAACCCAGTACTTGCTCACAACAAACATGATGAGTTTACAACAGAGAAAAGAACAATTTGCCAAGTGTCAATCTGAGTTCAGTATATATTTATAGGATTTTAAGGCTGTCTTGTTAGTCTTATGATAAAAACTATCAAATAGAACTTTTCTTAGAATTCACTGAGAATTTGTAATAAAATTCATGCCTCTTGTAATGTGATATGTAAATACAGTTTTACTATAAATACTGTACTTATTTGTATATTACCTTAATAAAGGTATAGATTTTAAATATTTTGCACAGAAAATTCAAAACAGAAAATTCGCTTTCACTCATTGGAGCTCCTTTGTTGGTCAAGGTTATGTCCTTGAGGCCTGCTGTGTACACCTGTGTATATGAACCACATGGCAGAGCTGTATGACCTGGTTCTGGTTCAGCGTTCCTTTTATTGCCCAAGTTTGCCGTGAATGCAGCAAAACAAGTGAAGACTCCTCAAGTGCTGAGATGTCCGATGTGACCCTGCTCCTTATCGCTGTAATCTTCCATCAGCTTAATAAAAAAGGGAGCGAGACGATCACTGAAATGTGTCGTGAAGTTCCACCTTTGTGTCTTCAGATTCCTTTTCTCTGATCCTTCTTTCAATTTCTGTGTGTGTGTGTGTGTGTGTGTGTGTGTGTCTACATGTGTATGTACATGTAAGTTAACGCGAGACAGAGAAAGCAGGTCACAAACGCATGCCTTTATACGTGTGTGCCCACATCTGTCTTTTGTGCATGAATTTCAGCCTGTCGAGACTTTTCTTTGCATTTTGCTCTTTGCGTTGGTGAAGGTTTTCAAATTATGCAAAAAAAAAAAACACACAAACATTCAAAGATATTCTCGTCTTATTTATGTACAAAGTTAATATGAGTCAATACGTTTTCTAAACTAATTTTAATTTCAGATTAAAAGTAGTAGTAGTAGCGATGGATGAATGTTGTTTGCTAATGAATTGCTCATTCTCTCACCGGGTCGTGATCTGTTCACATAAACTAACGCACATAAATTCAGCGCAATCTGTGGCCTTGTCTGTTGTGGGTTGGCTGTGATGACCTCTCTGCCCTTTAGCTTTGTGTGGAGACAATGAATTTGAATTACTGTCCAACTCTAAAGAAAAGATGTGCACATACAGCGTAATTAGTAAGGTATGACATCGCTGTGGCACTGAGCGCAGGAGCAGCGTCAGTCTGAATACATTTATTCTGAATGGGATGAATCTTATCTAATCATTTTCATTGACTTGTGTTCGCAAGCTAAATAGAAATCTGGCCTTCATCTTTACTCTGAAACGGCAGTGCCAGGATGCAGCGCACAGTGAGATATTGTTGAAATGTTTTATTCAATGAACACACTATACAACAAATAATATACAAAGAATAAACAACACCCTGTTGTACATCCTCCTCTCCAAACACCTTTATCACTGTTTGTGTTATCAAGTCGGTCACGTCACATTCGACAGATGAAGGCTCCTCAGTGAAGATATCATACAAAGATTTACCCTGACAAACAGGCTAGGAAATTAGCAGGTTACTTGCAATGTGTTTACAGTAATCTGACCTCTAAAACTGCTCTTTTTTTTTTTCTTTTCTTTTTTTTTTGTTGCTCGCAGTGACTGAATCTAAAAAACGTTAAAAAGCAGATTGCACATCCTCATGAAGAAACTTCTTGAAAATTGTTGGCTGAATTCCAAAGAACCATATTTGTAAGGAAAAGAGGAATTTCATATTCGTTAGTTGAGCATAAATTTCTGTTAACAAGTAACTTAAAACTAGAAAGTACAAATGAAATCCTTTTTTTTTAAATTCTACAGTAGTAATCTAAAACTAGCTCTTCCATACATGTTTGAAGCCCTAATATAATCTAAACAACTGCTCTTATAATTTATCACACATATTTGACATTTCACAGTTTGGTTCGGGCACAAACGATGTCATGTTTCTTGCTAACAGTACAGAGGCATGGCTACATCGTAAAAGGCAGCACAGAGAGACACTTCAGTCATGTTTCACTACATGTCGCAGTTAAAGGCAGTGGGAACTTGAGCTCTTTTCAACCGTGACGATCTTAATGAATCTGTAACGATCTTCATCACTTTGTCTTTTACATGATGTTCCTGCATATGTCAAGAGGCAGCTGCATCCATCATGTTCATACCTGACATTCGAGTCCATTAATCAGATAGAGGCAATGTTCAATAATATTTTAACTGACTTGTTTGTATTTAGTGGCAGATTTATTAGCTGATGAGACTTTAAGAAGTTTCCACATGTCCGGATTTGGTCGTCTTCGCCCAGTTTTCCGCTCTAACAGGTGACTTCATACACATCTGTTTCTGGCTCTATCTCTGCACATGAACGGCACGCAGGGCAGACAGGTAGCTCTGGGCAGGACGGGCAGGTCAGACATCTTGGGCGTTTGAAGCCGAACAGCAGAGCACTGCCTCCCAGCACCTGCAAACATGAACCCAGCCACCCAAAGTAGAGCGAGCCAGCCGGACGCAGGCTGAGGTGGGGGAACCTGTGGTTATTGATCCCTTGGCTTGGACTTACCATCCCCAGTCTTCCAAGGTTGTGGGTGTACACCCCGAGGGCAGTCAGACTCAGCAGCCCGGCCATCACCACCAGGAGTCCACCTGTAGCTGCTACACCTCTCAGAGGTAGATCTGTCCAGCACCGGACTCCAATACAAGCCAGAACAATCCCAGTGCCGCACAGGAACAAGGAGGTCAGGACCAAACCTTGTGCTAGGCGAACCCGCGGGTCTCTCTGGTACGGACCTCCAACAGGCCAGCACTGCTTCAGCTCTGAGTGTTCCACCTGCAGGCAGCTCTCCCAAAGTCCATCAGAGCGCAGCAAGAGCAGAGTCTCAACCGACCCGGACCTGACCCCCATCCCATGACCCTTGAGTCCTGAGCGAAGAAGTGACCCCGGCGCCGTCATGCCCAGACGTGCCTGTCCCTCTCTCCACTGAGGGGTGATGGCCGCGGTGAAGACGAGGACCAGTCCCAAAGGGGCAAAGACGATCCCCATCACCATCGAGGCAGGAGTGTGCATCGTCAGTGGTACAACGGGAAAACTCTCAAGACTTACAGCTCATTTGTTTTCTGTAAGAACGAACCAGGACCTGCGTTCAATGTGGGTCTTTTCCAAAACGAAAGATGGCAGTGGCTGCTCTTCCTCCAGACACGGATGCTGCTTGTTATTATCATATGTCAGTGTCATTGGACCCCTCAGAACAACAGGGCTCTATTCTGCAAAAAAATAAATAAATTGTGATGTGATAATGAAGAGGATAAAATCTCACATAGAAGAAAAATCCAGTCACAATTCACAAATATCCCCTCTGATCAGATGCTGCTGATTTACCTGTGTCTGCAAGGAACCAGTGAACTTATAACTTGTATATTTTCTTCACAAATATGCAAACCTTAGCTGTGAATACAAAAAGCTTAATACAAAGATTTGAAAATGTTAATTCAACAGATGAATGAATCAGAGATTAATGATGAGAAGCTCATCCCTTACCTCTTCCTTGAAACTCTCCTGCCTCTTTGCTGAAGACTCTTCATTGTGAATGTCTGAGGGGAAGAAGAAGACTCAGTCAGAGAGGGAGGCGGTGCACGTCAGGCTGACATGATGGAGAGAGAGAGAGAGAGAGAGCGAGGCAGAGACAGAGACGTGAGAGGAAACACAGGTGTGAAGTGGAGCACAGACAAGCGCCCGAGCAGCCGGAGAAAACAGAAGGAGGTCTGGCTTCACTGCTCCAGCGCTGGACAGAAAAATAAAGGCTGAACGGTCGATGCCTGTCTCTGTTGCTAGGATACGATAACCTGGCCAGTCTCAACGTGACAGGGTGTGTGTGGCTTTGCTTATTAGACTCCTCTCTATACAAGAATCTTGTGTACATGAATAGTAGAACACAGCTGTGCATGTGTGTGTGTGTGTGTGTGTGTGTGTGTGTGTGTGTGTGTGTGTGTGTGTGTGTGTGTGTGTGTGTGTGTGTGTGTGTGTTTGTTGCTATTTTCTCAAAGTCTGATGGGTGACAGCCAGATATGACCTTGGACGAATTGAGTTGGGTTAGTAATAACATCAGGCCAGTGTCTGAATGCAGAGTGAGTCCAGCCACAGCGTCTCAGCCCGGAGGAGAACAGACAGAATGCCCTCAGCGACGGGGACAAGACAGCTTGAAGATGTGTGTGTCTGACTCATGCAGGACACAAACAAACACAGCCACGCCACAATCAGTAAATATCTCAGTCAACACCCACAGCGGAGCTATTATCATGACTTCCGTGTGGAAAATCAACATTTCTTCATACTGCCTCATTTTCCACAGCAGGTGTACAAGGCAGTGCAGGTTTAACAGTCAGAATCAATCACACATTTCTTTTCTCCTCCAAACGTTCTTCTTATACCAAAAAACCTCACGTGGTGATGATGAAATATGAGGCAGACGTTTTATTTGCAATTTGCAAATGTGAATTTATTCATTAAAAAAGCACTGGAGGGTTGTTGACAATTATCTTAAAGGTGGAGTGCATTGTCATTCTTGTGTCGTCAGTGTCTAAATATACTGCGCTCACACTGTGATGGGAAACATGGCAGTACTTCCTCTTTGTTTTGCTACCAGAATGTTTTCATGCACATGACGGGAAAGAGAGAAGGTGACAGACAACAGGAATCAGGAGGCCTGACCCAGCTCTCAGGACACCATCACTTCTCTGCATTAGGAGTGAATTCAAGGGGGTTTGACAGTCAACTGCACGATAAAGCCTCACCTCAATCAGGTTCAAAGTATTTTGTCCACAGGTGTCACTTGTTACTCAGTCACATTTCTTCTCTTTGTGTTTTTCAGGTTGTTGCTTTAAGCAGCTGTAAGTGCTTTTCTAAAATTAGAAAAGCACTTACAGCAGGCCAAATCAGAGCTTTGTCAAAAATCCTTCAGATCATATCAAACACCGCACCCGCCAGGTCCACTGCCACTGCAGCGAGGTACTGTGAGTGCACTGACTTCATCTGACGCCTGATTTATTTCTGGCCATAACGAAAGGCATGGAAGCATCTGCAGAGGCTGGTCATGAATTGAATATGATAAACATACTGTAGGTTATTAATAGCCCCCACACTTTCTTTCACACAGGCACACTTTGAGCGACTGCAAACACACACACACACACACGCACGCACACACACACACACACACACACACACACACACACAGACGCACACACACGCACGCACACACACAGAGCCCATGAAGTCACAGGCACTTACCATTCACCGGGGGTCGTGTGCATCTCGCTGCAGATGGGCTGGCTGCCTCTCTGCTCTCGTCTGCACGGTTAACATGTTTCTCTCTCTGGCAGCAGATGGTGCAACCACGTCTTCATTATTCTTGCTCTCTCTTCGTCCTCGTCTGTCTTTGCTTAAGCAGTCTTCCCCCCCTATCTGCGCCTTCTAATTCCCTCTGTCTTCACGTCTCTTGTTTGTTTTTGTTTTTTTCCTGCTGCCTCCCCGACTGTCTGCGTCTCTGCCTCTCTGTCTCACTTTCTGTGCGCGTTTGTGTGTGTGTGTGTGTGCGTGTGTTACATCTAGGACAGATTGCTTCCCTGCTTTCCCTGTCAGTGTCACCAAATAGGGAAAGGCACTGAGCTCTTCTGTATATACAACAGGCAGCACACTTCAGTGTGTGTGCTGCCTATTTTTGGGGGCCACGACAAGCTGCAAAAAAACCAAAACATGATCATGTTTGTCTGTTCGTCTGCATACGACACCCCCACCACCCCCACCCCCACCACCACCCCTCCCTCATACAGATGGATTCTATGCTTTTGTTTGATCTGTAGAGCAGATAAAATAATCAGCTGTTTCTACATTTCCAATTTGCACTTGCAGGCTAATTATTACTGTGCGCGCGCACACATACACGCACAAACACACACACACATACATACACATACACACAGGAAGCATCTGATCATTATCATTTATTTGTTCCGTTGATAACTGATCCTAGCAGAAGCCGTGAATAGCTGGCTTTTCAATCAGATCTTTAGAGTAAGGACAGAGTCCAAAGAAGCTATTATACATTTTTTTTATTTTCTTACAAAAGGGGGGCAAGATTTGACTAACACAACCAGAATTGCCATAGTATAATAATGAAATATTACAACATACATGTTCGCTTTGAAATGATGCATAATGTATAAGGAAAAAAAAAAAATCCTGCAACTTTTTACACACACACTCATCCTTAAACACACGCATACATATGAAACTCCTCTGGCAGGCCTCATGGTTGTAGTTGTTTGAACTGTTTCCAGGTAAAAAATCTGTGGTTACACCATTACAGTCAGGAAATGTCCACAGCTTTGGGCTGAATGACAGCCCACTACAAACTCTCCTGTGGTTTTATGGGTGGAAATGTGTGACTTTTGGTTCTGAATGTAACCCAGTGTCGGGCCAACTTAGTCGTGAAACTAACAGGAACCTAGAGGAAGGGTTAGGAGACTAAGATACTTTTGGCAGTGAAAATCATTATCAGCAGGACGTGGCTGAGAAAACGCACCATTGGCTCTTGCAGAAGAAATGATGAGTATACTGAAAGCAGCAAGAATACCAATCTCTGAAAATGCTGAAAATACACGCTGTACAAAAATCATGTACAGGGCACTGTAAAAAAAAAAAAAAAATTGAAATACATAGCAATATGAGGAAAATGGTTGGCAACATGCGCATGGCTAGTTCATAAAAAATTGTCATATTAAAATCTATTTACATTATATATGTACAGGCTGTTCATTATAATTGCTCTTACATTAAAATATTAAATTCAAATAGCAAAACCATAAGAATTGGGCCGAGTGGTATTTACAACAACAAAAAAAAAAAAAAATCAAGAAACAGTGTGACATTTTCATCTGAAATCACAAAAACTGGAGAGGCCTCTTCAATCCAGTTGTGTCTTTGGTTTGGGAAGTCCATAGCTTACATTGTCTCTGACTGGGCAGTGCTTTGACAGGTGGTACAAACTGGCAGCTGTGATTTCTTTTTTTTTTTTTCATCCTTCAATAGAGCAGACAGCTGACTTGTTCTCATACTTCAACTAGAGTGACCTGGAACTGACCAGAGACCACCTCGGACATGTCGATGAGGAAGGCCGACTGGTTGGTGTAGTGTTCGATGATGTTATCGTCCATGTTGACAAAAATCCTGAAGAAAAGACAGACAAAAAAACAAAAACCGAAAGGTTACTCCAGTGATCGTGACGGGAAAAAAAAAAGAAAAAAAATGGTGCACAGAAGGTGGGACAAATCATTATTAACGCATCAAACTAGAACATGCAAACATGTTCTAGTTTGCTCTAAAGTGGGTTATGCTCTACTTTTCACTCAGGTTTCCTGCTAGCGCAACATGTCATTTGTTTTAAAGGAAGCTTCTTGGGTACAAAAAAGAAAAAAAAAAAACAGAGTTATGGCATATCTCCTGCATCAGTAGGAGTAAATCAGGTCACTCTCTTCCTCCTCCCCAACACTGACGTGTAAGTCTCTACGACTCCAATGTCTGAGCTAACCTGGTGCATTCTGCCTGCAGGGACGGGGTTGATTGAAGACAAGAGCAAAATAGGAGGGAGGGAACTGCAGGTAGAATGTAACCCAACCTGTTAGCTTAGCTGCTCCCCCTGCAGTGATAGCTGCCAGCAAGCAAGCAGGAAAATCACCCAAAGGTGTCGCAGCCTGTGTCAGGAGGGCCTTACTATTACCTTAAGACGCGACTCAAAGACATTTTAAGACATTTTTGAGACGCTTAAACTGTTACGATAATTATTTCCCAAGTGGATCTTTGTGAATCATCAATCACTGAGAGGAGGTGACCTTTTCATTACCACTGGAGTGCCTCCTTTTTGACCTAATATCTTTTGAGGAAATTAAACACAATCAGTTTTTAATTTAATTTTTTTTTCTTTTTTTTTTTTAAGTAGAGCACCAAAATGCAGCGCAATAGAAGTGCACATCTTAACAGCTCATCGTGTGTTCAGCTGATGTTAATGTGACCACTCCCATTTTAATGGCACAACCTCCAGCTAGTGACTGGAAGCCTCCGAAACCTTTATCGAGCCAGATCTCTCTTTCTGATGAGATGATGTTATGAAAGCATAAATAAGTACAACAATCGCCCCATGACTCATCTGTAGGACTTTTGAAATGTTTTTATCCTCCTTCAGTCATCTGTCTTTCTGTTTTCGAAGGAGCTGCAATTAACACATTCCAGCAGGCCAAGCCAACTAACCTACCAACCCGGTTTGTCAACATGAGCTTCCTTAAAGAAGGATGAGATTAAAAACACAATCTAAACCCTGAATTAATGCTCATCGTCTGTCTCAAACGCACGCCTTTAACTCATCTCGCGTGTTAAGCCCGTCGTATAATAGCAGTGCATTAGTCATATCAAAAGAAACAATGGGATAACTCACCCTCTCTTGCATTTTTTGTAGATTTTCCCAATGGTGTCTTTTTGCATACCGTACTTTTCTGAAATCTGAGGAAGGAAAGGAACATGAGATGACAGTTAGCATCAACTCCCGCTGAAAGAAAGTTGATCCACTTGACGGATGACATATGGTGAAGTTACTGCTATGTCAGCGTGATGTGCAAGTATGCGTTTGTAGAATTCGGGTCAGATAAATCGCCGTGTGGTCGTGTGGTACTTACGGCTTCTCGTAGGCCTGACAGTGTTGGCGTGCTGAGCATGAGCGCATCGAACACCTCCTCTGCGCCTGTCCTCACGTACAGCAGAACTAATAGGAAGAGGGAAAAGAAAAAAATTTTTAGATGACCGAGGCTCACTGGCTCATTATTGATGATTATTATCATTAGACTTTTAGTTTTCTATCTACCTCTCTGGGGGTCTTCTCTGCGGGCTTGCTTGCTGGGCGGTGAGCTGCTCTGATCTCTGTCTGGGTACAACCTCTTCAGAGAACTCCTGACACACACAAAAGAAAAGATTCACATTAAACAAAAGCAGCCACTGTGTGTCTATTCGAAACCAACCGATCGTGATGGACAGCTGTTAACACTGTTTACTATCTATGCTTACCTGTCGGTCTCGTCCATGGGAGCGGCCTAGAGAGATAGAGAGAAACAAGAGTGGAGACCAGAGATCTGATTAGACACAACGTCACTGATAAAGGCATTGCTTAATGTCCCCCTTCCCAGCATTATCTGAGCGTAACACCTTCTAAAAAAAAAAAAAGAAAAGAAAAAGGAATGTTATCATTACTTTAAGACCGCATTTCCCATAACCTCTAACAGAGCCACGTAAGCGTGGGCACTGATGGAGAGACGCAGATAGGACCATCCTGCACTTTATCGCACCGGCCAATCAAAGACATTTTTCTGCCTTTGTCATTCAATACAGACTGTGGGGCGCTGCAGTGTAAAGTCATATTGTAATTGCTAGTTTCTTTTTTTCATATTCTCTCTTTCCTTCTTTTTGTATCATCTCTTTGCCTCTACACACACACACGCACAAACACAGACACACACACACACCGCTCTACACTGCATACTGTGGGAAAACTGGCCTGTCTGAACAGCACACTCCCCTCACTGTTTTTGCAAGTGTGTATGAGTGAAAGAAACAGAGAGCATGAGGGTGGTGCACGCTGAATGTCCGGTGTCTGTGTGCCTGTGAGTCTGAGCGCTGCAGCACCAGGTGTGTGTGTGTGTGTGTGTGTGTGTGTATGTGCGAGTACTTTGTGTGTAAGCCCCTATAGCTTAAATCTCCCTGTCAGCAGCTGTAGCGGCTTGTACTGGTGCCTGGTTTCGACTCCAATTAGCTCATCTGATGTCAAGTCGGTGCTTCACCTCACTTTCGCTGACACCATCTCCTCCTCCCCTTTCCCAACTACATACTTTCCCACAGTTTTTTCCCAAACTCTCTCGTGCCTGTCTCTATTGCCTGCAGGGACACGGGGGGCGTGGGGCGTGTGGGGGGGGGGGTGGTGGGGGGGGTGGTGCAGAAAGTTACTGTAATAATAAAGTATAGTGAAAGGGGGACCTACCATGCGCTGCAAGCTGGAGAGGTGTGTTTCTGGAATAAAAAGAACTGGCTGGGTGACGTGGTCATCCAGGGTCTGGAAGAGGGTACATTCACTGCCCATGGAGCTGCTCACTAAAGGCTTGTTGGCTGGAAATAAAGCAGGAATGTCCACAATATTAGAATACACTCTCTTGGATAGTGTAATTATATTTTTTGTTTTTTTGTTTTTTTTTTTTCAACAAAGTTTCAAAAAAAGTTTCAAAAGCCATTTATTTGCAACACTCACTGTTAGCATCATTAGCATTCTTTCCCCTCCTCTTGCTCCTCTTCCTCTCCTCATCGCGCATCTTCCTCTCTGCACCCTGAGGACAACACACGCACATTCGCATGGTTACGACGATGACTTTCACTCGGTGGGTGCCACAGTTGAATCGATGTATCAGACGGGTAAATGAAGTGAAATGACACCAGTGACGTACCTTATCACAGAAAATCTTGACCTGACAAGCCGCTCTGTGCAAGAGCTGGTTGCTTCCTGAGCTGAAGTCGTAAGTGTCGATCTGGAGGTTCAGGGGCAGGCCTTTCACTCCCTTCTGAGAGGAGAAGTCTGTGCTCAGGGAGTTGATGCCGATGTACACCTTGGGAATAAGAAAAGAGGGTGTTTTAAACACATCATGTTGGCATCAGGTCATTTAAATTTAAATTCATTTAAATGTTTAATATTAAAGCACAATCTTAGGCCTCTCTATATTCTCCTCATTCTCTCCGTCCTGCATACACTGTCCCCTCTCTTCCTGCTTCCAGCAGGTTTGGTGGCCCCACCCCAGCGCCTTTGGGCCACAGAGAAGCCGTCGGGGCTCTCGCCTCTCGCTGTGGTGAAAGGAGCCTCGGGGCCAAACGCATATCTGGGATTCCTCCCCTCCCTCCTCAGCCACTCCTTCTCTCTCCACCTCCCTTCTCTACCTTTCCTCTCTTTTCCTCTAAATCTTCCACCTGTTCTGCTACTTCTCTCTTCAGAGACCTGGCCTTCTTGTCAATCACTGTGTTTGATATTGAGGTGTGTTTTTACCTTGGCTTCTTCATTGGGGTTCCACACAAAGGAGAGAGCGTTGAAAGCCACCTCCTCCACGTTGCTAATGCCGCTGAATACTTCTTTGTAGTCCGCTATAAAAGATGGAAAAAGAAATATTTAGGTTTCTAATCAGATCAGGAATGACTGGTTAATTCTCTTATGTAACACATAATAGGAACTGTGCTTGGTGTAAGGGTCTGTACAGGTGTACAGTGACTTTAAAGTGTGTTTTCATGTGAGATGAACATACCAATGTCAATGACCCTCTGCTTGACGGTTGGCTGCCGCGCATGCCAGTGATTCCAAAAGCGGAGCTGCATTTCTGGGGTCTTGTCATTCTCAAACACGGCCATCACCACAGTCTGGAGTGGAGAGAGAAAGGTTGAGAGAAAAGCAGAGAATTAGGTGCGTTTGTCGAACTGAATGTGACTCTTTACACCTGCCTACGTCTCTCAGAATGACCCACTCTCCTTTAAAAGCCACCGTGTTTCATTCATCACTCCAAATCCCCCTTTTCTCCTCACACTGTCATCAGTTATTTGCAGTGAGCTGGTGTGTGTTTGTGTATATTCTTATCCTCCGCTTGCGGTTGACAAAGAAACAGGTTGTCGCTTATGTTTTTAAAATCACACCACACCTTCTCCCTCTCCTTGTCCACTCCTTTCTTCTTTTTTTTTTCCTCTCTGGGCTGCACTCTGGCCTCATTATGCCACCATATGAATAAATTACACAGGGCAGGACACTGTAATTTTAATGGTACCTGCCCAGTGTGCAGGGTGTCAGCAGGGAATTAATCACAGAGGAGCTGGCTCCAAGGGAGGGACAGATATCTGGGAAGGGTTGGTTTGTGGCACGCAAAGAATTTATGTATTCATGAGCACAAGCCTGTAAAAAAAAGATTCCTGAGGGGAATGCCACTTGGAACATTTTTTTTTTTTTTAATTAATAAAGATTAAAATAATGTGTCTCCATGACTCACTTTGACTTTGGTGGCAGTGATGCAGGCGCTGCTGTCCACTCCCTGGAGAGTGATGGGGTAGAACTGTCCCTTGTTCAGGTAGACCATGGGCAGCTCGCTGGACTTGTAAGCGGAAGCCAGGGGAGCTCCCAGAGAAAACTGGAACTCACTCCTGAATCTCTCTGGTGGGGAGCCGGTGTAGGAGCCAGAGTAGGCGGGGCTGGACTGGTTGTCAGGGAAGGGATCGCTGTAGGGAAGAGTCTGACATCCACACAAGGAAATGCGTTAATAAATGAAAGAGGGAGAGGCCCAAAGATGGACGAGCTGCACAGCTGCTGCTTTCGGATTATCACAATGCTTACCTCATTGCTGGGGTCAGGGAAAGCACCGGGCTCTGGCCACTTCTGCAGCAGGGAGTCAAAGATGATATTGAGCTCCTGTTTGTCGTAAGGTTCTGTCACCACGCTGGTCAGGGTGGTGTAGGTGTCTGAGGGAACAGAGATGGGCATGGAGGTCTGCTGCTTTGATCCCAAAACTTCCTGGGGATGGCTTGTGGGAATGCTCTCAGAGAGAATCTTCATGACGTTGGCGGACGCCTCCATTGAAACAAGTTCACTGGTATTGGTTGGAGTCCTGCCCGGGTAAGGGGAAAAAAAAAAAAAAGTTGTAAAGGAGGACGTAGGAGGGAAGGAGGAAGCCACCTTTGTCTTAAACATTACGGAAGCCCGCAGACAGCCTGCGCAAACATACAACAGTCAGTAAAAGCACTTCAGCCCTCTGCACACAGAGCTACTGCGAGGTGAGCTCGCAGAAAGACAGGGTCTCAGTCTGGGTGGGAACTATTTGTCTCTTAATCCATCTTTTTTTCTTCCCTGTGTTTGAGTTTCTCTGTTAGAAATGTTTGAGGGGACAACACTGCGCCCCAACAATGGCCATTTCTCACCCGCGTTAAGAAGACGTAGTAATAGGGAGCTCAGTGAAAACAACCATCCGCCTGTTGTGAAACACTTTAAGCAAGTCAGAGATGATGATAGAGGGAGGATAGATGGATGGAAGGACTAGGGAGGAGGACAATAATCCTTCTAATTGTGTTTGACTTGGGGATTACCCGCTCACCTGTTAATGACCCCTTACAGCCCTGCCTTTCTCTTTCTGTGTTATTGACACTCTCTCTAATATGTTTAATTCAGTCATAACAGGGGATAAATAGGAAGACATTTCATTTCCAAATCATGCAGCTGCTGCTAGAAACAACTGCAGGAGATCACATCAACTTTTTAAAATGATCTATCATCTTTTGTTTTTATATTTTCTGTGCACTCTACTCGGTAAAAACGTGTAAAGCATATTGAAGACGGAGTTATATAAACAATCACAGCTACTGGGTGAACAGATGGACTGTGTGTCTGGGAGTTCTTACCTGTCCATTTTGTAGATGTTAGCGCCACGGTTGCAGGCAGCAGCCTTCTGATCTTTCTGGCTCTGAAAGAAAGAAAAATATAATCAAGAAGCGATCAAAGACAAGATATTCAAATTTTGTCCTCTAATATAATTCACTGTGGTTTCCCCACTGGCACTGAGGCCACATTTTCTACCTTGCACTGTTCATAAAGCATGGTTAACGCCGCCAGGTCGTCTCCTGGATGGAGTCTGGGTTTGGAGTGGTTCTGCTCGGGGACAGGGCCCTCCAGGTAGGACCAGGAGTCCATGATGTAATTTGTGTAATGGTTATAGTTGAAGTTCTCACCATGAAAAACCAGTCCCAGAGTCCTGCAGAGAGGAGCAGAGAGTTGAAAGTGATTAATTGAACAGACAGGTTGATCGACGTATTAGAAATATTCATAAAAAGCAAAAAAAAAAAAAAAAAAGGTAAAAATGTAGAATTACATACATTCACATGTTTATGTTTATGTTTATGCTTATTTGACAAAGCGAGAGCAAGCTGCAGTACCACAGCCTCGGAGCACTGTACATACTTGCCCATGAGCGGGAAGGGTTTCGATTGCAAAACCACAAAGCTGAGTAACATCCCTCAGGAGCAGCGGTGTCAAAAAAAGTTTAGAAAGCCAAGGGCCACCCACCAACACACACATGCACATACACAGATCTGATGTCTGGTGGTTTGCAGTGTTGTGAAAGAAAAACATGCTACATTCCTAAATGTTGTAAAAGCTTTCTTATTTGCATAGATCTTAAAAGACGCGATGAGATTTTCTTACTAAGTAAACAGAAACCTGCAACCGTCACTGAGGTCGGCTCTGGTTTTCAATATCACTTGTAAAGAAAAAAATGAAAAGGGGATTGTGAGGATTGGATTTGTTTGGAGAGTCTCGCTGTGATATTGGATTGTAAATATCCTGTCTACTGGGATAAATCCCCTTTTGAGTTTGTCTAAAGTAGCTGATGAACAAATAGTGAGTTTGCTCTGGTTAAACAGTTAATTAAATGTGCTGACAGGAGGGTAAAACCACAGGTGTTCACAAGGAAAGCTTAAAAGAGAAATCTAAGGATTTCTCACCAGGATTAATGAAAGGTACCGAACACATATTGACACAGCGCCTCGAAAAACTAGAAATACAGCGTTTGAGCATGGAATAATGCACATTTTAACTTTTGTTTTGATGCTAAATTATATCCTAAATTGTGATATTTCAGATATTTCATCAACAAATACTAAAACAAAACCCATACACCTGCTCTAAGATGCACCTGTCTCCCCCTCTCACACTCAGCAGCCTCAGAAAAAAAAAAACTGAACACCACACAACTCCATTAGTCACTCTCCATTTCCCACTAAAACCAGTAAAAGTGGGGATGTTTTCACACAGACACGGGGGATTGGAGGGGGGCTTGTGTCTAAGGTTTCGCCATTATGTAATTTAATGCATTACATGCTGCCATTGCATTTTGTGTCTGTGCAACACCTCAAGAGGAGATTCTTATTTCCCGGGCTCCTTTTGTGCTCTGTGGCCCCTAGGTGAGTGACAACACAAGCTGAAACAGACCTGCCACAACCCCAGACTCGTGTTTGTGTGTGTTTGTGTGTGTGTGTGTGTGTGTGTGTGTGTGTGTGTGTGTGTGTGTGTGTGTGTGTGTGTTAAAACTATCCATATCAGTTTCCCTTGCAAAACACCCCTTTCTTAAAACAGGGCTCTTTCACATGGGGGTCCCATTGCAAATAGAAACAAGGAAGGGGTTTATATCCTTCCCAGACTGCAATCTAACTTAAAAATTTTACTGTGTTTTACCAAGTTTAAACCAAAAGTTTTTTACCTTAACCGATGAACAGAAAATCTTGATGAAGCACAATTTTAGACCAAAACGAACGACGAACAAAAAAGAAAATAATCCCCACAGAACTTACTCAGTCTCTTTGGTCATGTCTCCAGTCCAAGTCAGCTGGAATAGATTCCTTTAAATTCAACTCTTCGCTGTTTCTATGTGGTTTGTCTCTCTGCGCCGGTGAGTCTATCAGTCTAGCAGAGAGGAGCAGTGAGACACACGCAGATGAGTCAAGTGTTGTGATTCCCTCTGAACGCGGCCCAGATTTATTTCATTCCAGCACAGAGTTTCCCTCTCTCTCCTGATTGGCTGAGAGCTGAGAAACAGGTGTCTGATAGGACAGGTGTAGGATTATTAACTCTTCCTGGGCTGGAGAGAAACTGGCTTGCATGTGTATGCGTGTGTGCAGCAAAAAGAGAGCACTTTGCAAGACAATCCAAGGCAGGAGTGTTTTGAATCTCATTATCGCTCTGGATAAAAGAGTGAGATTGGGGATCCCCGAGGTGTGAACGGTTTGGTAATGAGTCTGAGAAAGGCAGGAGAGGTCTGGAACTTAGCTTTAACATGTTAATAGTTTTTCAGTATCATTTTTCACTTTCCCCCTGCATTTCCATGTCATACACAGGTTTTGGTTTCTTTATTTTCCTGGGGATCATAGATGTAAAAATGGATGCCTTACTGTTGTGGTTAACTGCTGAGGAGAAGCAGGTTTAAGGGAAGCTCATTGAAAATAAGATGCATTTTAGAGCCAAAGTAAAGTGGAAAAGTTTCATGATTTAAAACATTTAAACAGAAACATTTATTTATTTAGCAATTAAATTTTGAATAATTACAACGTTTTGCTTTTTAGTCAATACAGCTTAACTGAGTTGAAAAATGTTACAAGTTAAACACAAATATATACTTGAAGTATTAAAAGTACTCACAGAGTGGTCCATTTTAGAGGTTTATATGATCACCTGTGTACTATATTGTTATTGTTATTGATGCATGTGCAGGTAATTTGATGCTAGAATTGGTCCTATTTAATATGGTGTTGTGCATTTTCATCTATAACAATAAATCTGAGTTTATGAAATGATGTTTGTTGTAAAAAAAAAAAAGAAAAAAAAAGAAAAAAAAAGATTTCTTTAGTAACTCAAAATCAAAAGTCAGTGTTTCCCTGTAAAATTAAAGTGGAATAAAAATCATAACATGGAAATAGTACAGCTCATGGATCACAGTTGTATTTGAGTAAATACATTTACTGACTTTCTTCCAATGCAATACTAACATAAAAGTATGATCAACAAAAGGACAATTGGAATGTTCACTTTCACAACAACTTAACAGTGAAACACCCACACACACACACAAACATACATGCACGCACACACACACACAAACACACACCTCCTGACAAGTAAGACCAAAGCTCATGGCTTCCAGGAATCCAAAAGCAGCGATCCCTATAAAGTCTTCATGTCAGTCATGGATATTATCTTCCATCCACACACTCTTATACACACGCGCGCACACACAACCACACACAGAGAGAGAGAGAGAGAGAGAGCGAGAGAGAGAGAGAGAGAGAGAGAGGGAGAGAGAGAGAAATGTGTGTGTGTATAATTGTATATAGCTGTTTATCTGTGCATTCGTGTGTGTGTGTGTGTGTGTGAACACCTCTTGCGGCTGACACCTGAGGGAATCTGGTGTGGTAACAGAAAAGAGTGCATGTTGTGCAGCTTGCCATACACTCGCACACACACCTCCACCCCACAGAATGACACACACACACACACACACACACACATTTATACACAAAGCCCTGAGGGCAAATTGGCTTCAAGTCAGAAGAGAAAGAGAAAGAAAGAATACTTTCTGTGTACGACACACCTTCACATCACTCCACGGTATACGTCTGAAAAGGCATCTACTTAATTAAACTTAATTAAAGTAACTCAAGCTAAAGTTTCATCCTCTACACCTGAGCTTCTCGAACGCAGCTGACTAAAATGGACTTGTTTCATGGCCCAGGATCCCAGTACATATTATGCTTTACCATACATCCCATTCAGACATAGAGTATAAACTGTAGAAGCACAGAGGGAAAAAAGGATGGAGGTAACATGGGTATGCGTCCATGAGCCTCTCCTTCACTTTTCATCAGCTCGTTGAAGGTGTGAACGGCTTCCCTTGCCTATAGTTTCTTTTTCTCTCACCCTGTCTTCCTCATATTTTCTCTGTCAGTATCTCATTAGTGCTGTGAAATTAACACATCAAAATGTTAAACTCTTTAATCCTCACTTCAGTCTCTCTTTCTCTCTCTCTCTGTCTCTCTGCTTCTCTCCGTAGTTCAGCCACAGGAAATATCCTGAAAGGATCACACCCACATCTAAACACCAACTATTCTTACACTTAATCCTCTGAAAAACTTTGGACATTTGTGATATTGTTCAACACAATAACTTATTTGCAGTTCTAAAATGTGCAATGATGAATAAAGAGCAACCACTACTTGATTGTAATCAATTGTCAAAATCAAATCAAACAGGAATAGCCAGTTGTAAATTTATAATTAATCTTATGTAATATGATAACACTCATATTTATATATATATATTTGTAAAGTTAATTATGAATGAGACACTTATGATTTAAAAAAGGTAAAATTACGGTTTATTTACCTAATAATTTCCTAACAATTTGACTATGGAACTTGGTACTACTTATAGAGAAAGTGGGGAAAATGTTCTATTTGGTAAATTTATTGCTGCTGCGAATGCCAGCTGAACATGAAAAAATGGGTTTCTGTGAAGCTGTTCTTTACCGTTTTCCTATGTTTAAAATTACGTCCTGTAACATAAAGCATTACCAAATCCAATGATTCAGTTTACAGAACACAAAGAAACATCCAGAATATGAGGTTTTCTTTTTTTTTTTCATGGTTACATAATGAATTTAAATGTTTTAAATGATCGTAGATGTACATGTATATCATTAGATATATGTAGGAATACAAGGAAGTCAAGTTTCTGTTCTTGAAAAAAACTCTCTCTATTGCCTTCAGGAAAAAAAAAGTAGCTTTGCACAAACCCTGACAGTAGCACAAGTAAAGTTCAATCAAACATCCTCAAAGTCTTTTGTTTGCTGTCGTACTTTCATGTCTAATTGAGTAAAAGTGTCAATGGCCCCATAGAGACCTCTGGCCCGAACTGATAAGCAAGGGAAAAGATGTGGAAATGGAAGATGGATGGATGTCACCAGATCTTCAAACGACTGCCTTTCACGCCTTGAAACTCACCTATGGAGTAAGAAACCAAGACTCAACTGTCTTGGTGCTTTGGTCTGTGGTGTGCGTGCTCATGTGCGCCTGCACCCATGCATGGCACCATACAAACAGACGTCAGTGCTGCCTCTACGCACCAGTGCTGCTGAGAAGGGACTCTCTCAACACTTCTCTCCTCCCACGTTATACCTCTCTCTCTCTTTCTCTGTGTCTCTCTCTCTCATTTTCCTGTCTCCCACTTACTCTTCCTTTCACCTGGGTTTCCTTTCCCGTACGACTGTTTGTCCAATAAATCATATCCTGCGCCGACTGCTTGACAACACGTTCAACACAAGATGTAAAAATCATGCAAATTCCAACTCTTAAACCGCAGCGTAGGAGTCAAGAGAGGTGAAGAAATCAATAAAAGTAGCAGCCAATTCTTTTATTCTTTGGCTGATCCCGCTTATCATTTCAATGCACCATACATATCTCTCCATCTCATTCTCTTTCTATCTCTCCATCTGCTCTAATGCCTGGTTTGTCATGGAGGAATGTGTGCTGAGGGTTGACAGAGATATAAGCAGCCCGGGGCGTGTTGCTCTGCCGCTCAGACTGGGAAACCAGTGTGAGTGGTGCACCTGTTACCGCGAAGCCCTGACATGTTTACTTCAACTGCACTGCTTTGACACCAAATGCTGCTTCTTCTTCGAGAACTTGAGTTTTCTACCTTTACCCAATGTGTACTGATATAAATTCAGTCTAATTGAGAATAGCCAATAAATGACATAATCGAATGTTTCTGACAGTGCTCAAAATATAATACCTCAACAGTATGAAGGGTATAGGTTTCCTTCTCTGTCTAAATATTGTCTCTTCCTTGCTTTTTCAGTATCTCCTCCTGATCTTATCACTGCATTGCACGCCGTCTGTCCTGTACGTAAGGCTGGACCATAGGAGCCTGTTTGGAAACTATGACATCAGCCCGAACACCTGTACTTCTGAAGAGACTCAGACTTCAAATCTGTACTTTCCTAATAGTGATGCTAATCCCCCCCCCCCAAAAAAAATCATTAAAATACTGAACTTATAATGTATCTGAAATGTCATTTTACACTGCATGGTAACTTTCTTTAGCCAACTTTAACAATTATTTTTCAGAAAATTAGCTTGTTCGCTCATCAAGGTCCAAACATCTGTTCTCAGTTCAAGTCACATGATAAGCGGTGACAGCAGTGAAAGACTTCTGTTGTAAAATAGCTTTTTGGCATTTACATAAGCCAGAATCTGCTGTATATTTGTACATTATTGTTGGCAGAACAGTTTTTAAGAAGGAAGAAACGCACACACAGATCAGAAAACCATCAGGCTCCTGTTTGTTAAATGAAGGTAAGAACCAGATCTTAGGAGCCGTTCATATCTCCCAGCACCAGTTATTACTTTATATTGCAGGTACTAGTATTTACTCCAGGACTGTGCTTGCTGTATGCACAATACTGTTCAAAGGCACTTGTTTGTTACTCGAGTTATTTCTACTTCACTATTCTTATTGTACTTTTCACTCCACTACAATTATATGACAGGTGGAGTAAGTGGTTATTTCGCAGATTACACAAAACATATGATCAGCAACATGACGCATTGGTCAGTGAAAATTAAATCTCCATCTTATCAAGTTATTTTGGTCCCTAAAGTCTTATTTTCTCCAAAGAATTCCATTCAAATCAACTGCAAGCTGCATTTCTCTTTGCTGTTTCAACATTCATTTCAGCTGATGTTAGTGGATTTGGTGCTGGGCAGAGAAAGAGTGTGCGTGCATGTGTGTTTGATACTAAAATCAGAACGTTTTTTAAATGCTTTGTTGTCCTTTGAGCTCTATGTGCAGTTAGTTTACTGATGTGTGTGTTTACGTGATTCGTTGACCTCGGCCAGGTGCTCTGACCTCCTCAGACTTGTGATACTGAGGTGAATGGGGAGACCCCTTTATCAAAATC